GTTTAGTAAATGAGGTACGATGAGTGGTTAATATGTCGCAGGACAGATCTCGAGCTCGCCGCGACGCGAAATGATGACACAGCTCACGAAATCGAGCCCAGCGACCAAAAGAGCTGCGCACAATCAGTAGAAGGACTAGGCGCTCCGAGACCAGGAGACTCGACAGATCTCCGCTGAATGTTCTCTGAGTCTCCATGGATTACTCTGAGCCGCGTCCTGATTGCAGCCCTGCTGACGATGAGCAATCGATAAAGAGAAAGACGATCACCCTGTGAAAAGTAGCGCCAAAAAGGCAATGAGATCACAGAGGAAATCATGATATTCCTCGTCGGTTCCGCGCTGCTAGATGCTCGGAACCGAAGTGTTTATCCACGAGATGAATAATTTCGAGGAGAACGTCACCTTTTGTTTGTGATGCAACCCGCACTGCATGATGGAGTGTTGAAGTCAGTTTGTCCGACAGGACGGAAGATTCGGACCTCGTTCGCTAATCCCCTTGGTATAGATGTTGAGTCCGGATTCCGGCTGTGTTTACTCTGCTGCGATCGCTCATTCAATGTCCACCATTTCCTCGTTGATTGCATCGCGTCTCTATGACCCATCCTCGGCATCGTCCGGGCATTCCCTCTTTTTTCTACTGAAGCGAGATACATATGGCTGAGCTGTATAGATTTTCCGAACGAAGGAAATTTCGAGCGTTATCATATTGCGGTTCACCATTTTCACGCGGATCCGGTCCAGAATCGGATGTCTTCTGCTGCCCTTTCAGATCTGGACGGTATTGACTTAGCAGTTCGCTATGCTACAATACCGTCGGACAGCAGGCCCCCAGCGAAGCATTGAGTCAAGATGAACCTCATTCCTCTCACCGTCCGAGAGTTTCATGTGCACGTGGCACCCATAGATGGATCACCGTTCCTCCGCTGCCTTCTTTTCAAACGAGCCTCTGTCAGCAGCTGACCATCGGCCACCTAGTTTTACCGAGCACCTAACTTAGGATACGAGGTCGGACGAGCCGGGAGCGGTCAAGCTGATTAAAATGCACCTCTAAAGTGACCTCTATTAGCCGTCCGCTCTCCATATTTCGTCGTCGCTTCTCTTCCTCGTCCGGCTGCGCACCGGTCGTCGACATCATCCATAATATTGGATCAATTTGAACACAAACAGCTCTATTCCGCTCGAGAGGAGAAGACGCGTCGATTAGGTAGGTCGATCTTACCTCACAGGAGCAATCGTCGTGCATTCATAGTAAATTCCTGCAGATCTCAGCCTGGGGCCGCAAGCGAGCAACATCGTTGATAGTTGATATCTCCTTGTAGGGGAGGAATACAGTCGCCGAAGCTCGTCGCACCGACCACTATTTGAACTTTCCCTCACAACGGAATCGAGGCAGAACTATCATATTCTCGATACGAGCGCCACGCCTCGGATCAATCTTAAATCTGCTTCTCTGATATAATCAGTATGTCGACATTAGCGATTACGCAGCGACAGATGATGACGTCGGGACTATGAGAAATCTGTCAGATTTTGTATACTTAGGCATTTTATTGGCTCCATCATCGAATGAACCCTCAATGTCCGAGTCTCGTGATACTCGCGAGTAGCCCGTATTGTGATTGAGAGCGTCGAGATTTAGCCCAGCATTGATGCAGGTTCTGACGGAAATTCGGTCCAGCGGAGAGAATTTGTGCAATCCTCGAGTTTGGTGGCCGAGCTCTCATTATACAATAGATCGTTATTCGTTTCGTCCCCCCCCCCCCGCAGAGCTGGAGAAAAAATCATAATTTCTTCAGGTAGCTTTCTTTGACCTCTTCCGGCGGCAGCTCATGTCGACCCGGTGGAACGAAGTGTGATCATCAGGCCGGAGCAGTTTTCCGATGCGAGTCCCTCATCGGAAATTTTCCGCGGATTGCTATCGTAATATTCCCGACAAGGTCTCAGTATTTTTGTACGCCATGCTCGGGTGGCTGCCTGACCGGCAGTCAGAAAACAGTCAGTCAGTCAGTCATTCAGCGTAATAGAGTCTGACCGATATGGCGACGATGCGATGTTGGGTCGTGCTCGAGGCTCCCGGCCCCAAGACTCTCTACACTCGGCGACGCGGCTCTCGGGGAAAATATCGAGAGCTTGTACGATGACAGACTACGCACTCTCGTTGCTTTGACAGCTCGATATCGCCGGCGGCGAGACTGTTGCGCAAGAATGTATCCTAGATACAGGCTTTGAACTCCGGATGACTATTTTATATTATTTCCGCGGGAGCTGCTTTCCGAAATTGTGATACGGGATCAACCCGATTCTGCTGAGCCGCTGCATCATGCGTGCGGGCGAGTCCGGGGCTATTAGCCTAGGCGAAAGCCTCCACGAGTCTTCGAAGAAACGAGAAATTTCTCTTCCACGTGCTCTCGAACGCTCCTGCTCTTTCACTCGGATCGGTTTTGGCGGTTGTCAGAGCCAGAGTTTCCCGCTTATCACCCACTCGGCTGGTTTGCCGCCTCGAGACTGAAAAGAATCTCGCAGAATAAGGAGAGGCTTCCTCGCACTGATCTCTAAGCCCTGCCGAAAGTTTAGCCCAATTTGAGCGTTTGTCTGCCGCTTAGTAGGTCGACCGTCGCAGACGCCGCAATATGAGATAAGACCTTCGTTCCTTCTTGCTATATACAGAAAATCCTTTCACTATCTCGTTCTTTGTTCCTCATTCGGCCGAGTGAACGGAGGAATGGTCCAAAGAGCAATTCCGGAAATAAGATATAGAGTTTCCTTTTGGGTCCGAGCAGGGAAAAGGAGCATTAACACGGAGCCCGGTAGGATTTTCGCCTCCATCATCCGGAACGTATCATAAATTTTTACTCTCTCCGTGAGCATTTCCTGGGCGGAGAATCATCTCAGGAGCAGCGGGTGAAGGTTCATCTACAAGAGAAACTTCGAAGAGTCCGAGGGAAGCCGGAAGTTCTGGCTGATGATTCGAGCTTGACAAATAAAATCCGGGAAGAAGGCTTCGGAGACTCGAAAAATGGGAAACCGTTCTAAGAGGGAGTCTTCTCCTTTGTTTCCGTCATTCCATCGTCCGATGGATATTCAATGAACCTACCGATGGCGCAGCGAAAGCACACACCATCCAGGAGATTGTCCTGCGATCGATTCGATACAGGGTATCGCATCGAACCGGGAAACAGAAAAACGCCGTTCCAGATTGCTCCGCATCCGCCATTCCCTATTCTGAAAGGTTCTCCCCGAGTACCCCGAATGTTCTTAGGATCGGGTCTATTCAATCGAATCAAAATCGGGCTCCGGGAGCGGCGAGGATCTACGCAGACACTTACTTATCACTTCCAGAGCCAGGATTATTCAATCAATTCGACCTAAGTGTCGGGGTCTGTCATTCCGTCCCACTCTGAATATTCGCAGCAGTCCAATCAGCGGTTTCCAAATATACTCGAGAGGATGTCTCAGATGAATGCTCAGAAATGTAATCAGAGGCCCTGTCCGGGTAGGAGGTTCTCGAGTAGCGCGGTCGCGAACAGATCCCGAGGATCCGGAGTCCGGAAACTCCCAATGGAATGTACTTCGACGTGAAGGTGTGAGTCCGGTTACCCCCGTCGAGTCAGCGGGAAAAAGAATAATTGAAGAACTTCTCATTTCCTCCTGAGCCTGATGTCGATGACACCGATCAGAACCTCGAGCTCGATAATCGTGCGCTCGAAGTGCGTCGAGTTGTTTGCGAAGCACAATCGTAAAATTTGGATCGTGTTAGCTTAGCGAGAAAGGTGGTCGTTATATTGTTGTATCTGTTGAGGTGTTGTTCGCGCAGCCGCCCGGAGGTGTGAATTGTGCTTCCCCTCGAGCTCTGCTCAGCGGGACCTCTCCTTTTCGCAACTCGCCACCACCAACACCATCATCATCATCACCGGCAACCAGTAGAGTAATGTGATCCTGCTTGTAATGCTGCAGTCGAAGGATGCTTTAAAAAGTGTCATTTTGCAAATTGCGCGCGCGCTCTAGGACCCTCCGGGCTCCTCCGGCACTCGTCGCGCTTCCAACTGGGATTTTTGAGGATTGCACATTTCCTCTTATTGATTCGCTCTTTGTCCCAACAGTGAAATTGTCTGGCACACGCCGCCGCCGTGGACTGCATAAAAACCTCCATGAACCGAGTTCTCCGCTCTCCCGGAGATGATTCCGCGTCCCTGCGAAGGGAAACCCTTTGGACGGCGAGATTTCGGAGGCAGGATGTTCGTTCAGAACTTCCATACGCTCCATCCTTCGCTTCGATGGTGAAAGTTCTCCATTCGCGACTACGACGAGCGAGCGGAAGGAACCGACTGGTGTCGGGAGTTGTCCGAGGATAGCCTCCGGAACAGACGAACGCAATTTGATGCGTTCCGTAATCGGGACATGGAACTCAGCAGGAACGAGCGCGCGAGCAATTTCAAGGCCGCTGGTTGTGAACCCGTTCCCAAGCTCTCGGGAATATTCCCTACTACTTCAAGATCAATCCCGACTAGGGGATGCCCACGAACTGTTTCTTTGTGTTTGACTTGAATGAGGGAAGATTCCGAATGGGAGTACACAGTGTCCATTCAGTGATTCGATGGACGGCAGATTCGATAACGGTGATTTCAAAATGACGAACTCGCTGCCCGCAGAGCGTCTGATGGTATAAATTCAGTCAGAGAAGTTTCAAGGAGCCCCGCCGAGCATTTGTCTCTTTGGACAACTCATCGTTTAACGGTTGAGTGTTAGGTTTCAATTCATGCCCGGATCGGGCGGACGCGAATTAGCTGAGAGACATTCCGCGGGCTACCTGAGGGCGGTACCTCGGAGCTCACGGGGTGGAGCGTTCACCTCTCTCAAGAGTCGTGAGGTACGACAACAAGTTTATGGTCCTCCGATGCACCATTTGCACAGCCATTCTTCTTCATTCGGAGCTGGTGACGGAGTCGTGAAGGGACGTCTACAGTCTGATCACCTGCTCTGAACGCTGATTTCGGTGTAAAATGTCGTCCCCGGAAACCACGCAGTTGAGTCGGAGCCCGAAGAACGCTTCGTTTTTCATGGAGTCTCTACTGAGTTCTCCGCATCACGGATACACGCGCGAAGAGATGAATCCATTGCGATCTCTGATTCCTTGGTTCCATCAGGATATCGTACTGACGCCAGAACAATTGGCGTTCCATGCCGCTACCCGGGCCGCTTTGGCGCTCCGTCTAGGTGTCAATCCCCCGACGAACTTCGGACCAATGCAAATTCCGCCGCAAGAGATCATAAAACGTGAAGACAGCTCCCGCTACATGGATCATCAGCAGCAGCAACCGCTCGGTGGACGTCAGCACGAGATGCCCTCCACAATATCCATCGACCGGGGATCAGCGTCTAGTCCCGAGAGAGTGCCCCAACTGGATTCCGACATCAAACGCATTCGGACGGCGTTCACGGGGACGCAACTGCTCGAGTTGGAACGGGAGTTCACCGCCAATATGTACCTGTCGAGATTGCGTCGCATCGAAATCGCCAGCCGTTTGGGTCTCACGGAGAAACAAGTGAAAATTTGGTTTCAAAACCGCCGTGTCAAGCAGAAGAAATCGGGAAAGGAAATCGTCTGTGCGAAGAACCATTGTGGATGCTGTAAACAGAAAGAAGAACCAGGCATCTGCACCTCGTCACAGGAATGATTCTTCCCCGTGTTCAGGACTTCGATGAGGATTCTTCGATAGGGTTTCCTGAAACCCTATGTATTTAATCAGAGAATAGTGATTCCGAGTTATAATGACAGAGCAGCACCCCTGGCCTCTAGGAGCGAGCTGGCGATGCGAGACGGTGTTCGCCATCCACGACGGATATGTAAATAAATTTATTGAGAGGACGCTGTACAATATTTCAGAGTTATATCGTCGAATAAAGACGGCAAGACAAACTATGACTATTTCTTACCGCGTGACAGAATAAAGTTCTGAACTCGTGGAACTATGCAACGTTCGCTCTGAGAAATCGAGATCTTCGCATGGGAATTCGGAAACACATGAACTGCTTAAACACGCCCCGTCGTCAGCGGCAGTGAGATTTGCAGTACAATGATTGTTAACTACGTCAGCTGACATTTACCTCAACTACTTGATACTCTGCCTACAATGAGCCTCATGGGCGAGGACGCGTGAGTCCACGGAGTGAGTTCTGCTCTTTTTCTCCCGTGACACTTTTGGTAGAATTCCCAGAGGAAACTCTTCCAAAAGGCTCAAGGGCACCCTTTCGACGAAGCCTGGAACAACAGTCGAGACACTCCCGGAAGAACTCTCATCCAACGTTAGGGAAATCGCCCAATCGCAGGGAGAGGTCCCAACGGCCTATGAACAACGTTGAATTGTTCAACTCTGCATCTCTTTCTCTATAACTTCATTACGCGGCACGGCGAGTCGACTTAGAATGGCGCACTTTGTGTGCGTGACTGGCAGCAAACGCTGGGACCGAATTCAGTTGTCGTGTCTCCTCTGGAGTTGCCGCCGATGTCTCACTTCGGCTAACAGTGTATTCCCCACACGAGGTCCTGGCTGTGCGCAAACGTCAGCCTTCAACTTTCCCCCGAAGGTGAGGCCTTGGTTGCCGCCGATGTGCCGGGGATCGTCCCCTACAGGAGAGCATTCTGAAACTACGCGCTTCCGAAAATATATTCGTGCCCCAATAACATGCGGAACCAGACTATCGGGCTCCATGGCCCGGTAGAACCCGCGAGCGAGACAGTGACGTACCTGAATGTAGGACCCGGGACGATCAGGTCCTGGAAACAGGAATCTTTCCTCCTCCCGTTCGGGGTCCTGACGATTAAAAAATCTCCAATCAGGCAATATTCTGTTGGCGGAAACGTGTGTTCATCAGCTTATCGTTCGAGCTTTCCGCCGAGGCGACGAGCCGAGTGAATAATGATTGGGAAGCGTCAGGGCTTTTTTTTCGAGCGCTCTCATTTTCAGGGGCTCCGAGATGGACCAAGAATCCGATGAAAAGGGAAAAGCCTCATCAGAGGCCTCATGACGAATGTGAAGAAGTCATCATCGGTATTGTGAGCACGCGAATTCTTTCGAATCCGGAAATCCTCAATTTATCACCGTAGGAAGGACCTTATCGTTTCTCGGTAAGGTGCAACAGACGGATCCAAGATTGTTCACTGCTACAGATTTCAGCGGGATATTCAGTCCCGTCACAAGTCCAAACTGCCGGATTCCGCATCGGCTGATTGTCCTCCAGTCGTTCCCCGGTTCGTCGCTGACAGACAAAAATTAAAGGTCTGACAGTTTCAACGCATCGTCGGCGCAGAGTCAATGGTGCTCCGTGACAATAGTCAGAGTAAATGTCAGCTAGGAGGATGGATGGATATCATAAGTCTGGGCCTGGGATTGACATATTGATGAGAGCTCAGAGAAAATCGAGCGGACAGGATCACCGCTAACCGTACTTGTTGTCTCGTTAGCTTCCATGTATTCGGTTGGGCAAGGCGTGCGACATTGCAGTCGAAAATACCCATTGCATTCAACGCTTCCCCCTGCCCGCTCGGTGTAGCAGATACAAAAATGAATCCACTGTAGTCGCCTGCCGACTCACCTGGAGCCACGGAGGGGAGATTCTCTTCGAAAATAAAAACTTTGCTGGTTTTCAGCTTTGACAGGATCACACGAGAATATTCACCTCCATTATTTTCACCATGAAAACTGTGATTGAAGGTCGAGGAATCCTGACTGGGCTCCAGCGGCTCGCGACATTCGGGAAAAATTAGAACCAGTCGGTGCCTTCCTTCCAAAGTGGAATGTACGGTCAGCGGTAGTGTCAGGCGAATGTAAGAAATGAACTACTCGTCAATCTAAAGAATAATGCCCGAGGCTCAAGTCGCAGATAAGCAAACGCGTTTGTATCAATCGAATTGTCAGACTAAGAAAACCACTCCTTTCATTTGCCAAGCGGTCGACGCAAGTAGAATTATGCTTTCATTCTTGAAATTCGGAATTTCTGCTTGACTGATTCTGTTGGTTCTTATGATTATTCCAACCGAAACACTAGATCAGACGGAGCTCTGCGTTGATGCTCCGCGCTCGCTTTCGCTACAACGCCGTGGTTCCATGACTTTCTCGCAGAAAAATCCAAAGTCTCGTTAGTTCCCGACAGCCGATCTCTTGACTCGAGAAATGGGAAGGAAATATCGCCTGAATTTGCGCAAATATTTCCCGAGGCAACAGGTGCGGGCACTCGAGCTTCGCTGTCGGCTTAATTGGAATTCTTTGTCTGCTCCTTAGCGACGTCGTTCTCGTTTTTCCGTCCTTCACCGACCGCACACCGGCGGCGCCCCTTGTTGTGAAGAACGAGTGAAAGTGGATATGCATTGAGGCTGGTGGACGGTCATTGTCATTCATGAGTATCTCTCTAAAATAAGGATTTCTCGGATGCCCACGTCCCTCTTAAATTCGATGGACCGCCGTAGATTCTTCTCTATCATCAGGTGCGCACGTCTTCAGCGCCTCTCGCCACGATGATATGGACGCGATCGAAGAGACTCCTCGATTCCTTGTCCTCGGCCCGCACGAGGCTGCGTCGGATCCTCGAAGATAGAAAATATATATATAGATTTATTGCGCCTCTTAATGAGCATGGTACAAGGATTCAGGATGCTGCTTCCTGTACAAATCAACCAAATTTACATTCGACTTAATCCGTGTAGGGTCCGAAGATAGAAAATTGATTGGGGGTTTGTCTGATTGCTCCTGGGAAGTATCGCTCGGTCGGGAACGACGGGCTAAACCCCGATGAGGGGATGCGACAGTTTCGCTGTAAATGGAGATGCGTTTCCTCCGGAATGCCCCGATGCGGCGGAAGTGAACGGCAACCGAGAGCTTGCTTGGCGAATTCGATTCTGTTTCAGGAACGACTGACTTAATCTGCCATAAATCAAGGACAGCCGCTCCGGAGAGTCATATTCTCCCCCCCCCATGACGGTTTCGTTCCCGGGTGCCATTCTGTAATAATTCATGGAGTGGAACGCTCCATGGGAAAGTATTCGCTGTCATGCCCGAATCAATGTGAGTCCACCGTTGGAAAGTTGGAGGGTCCCCGAAACATGCATGTCACCACAAGCCGAGAGGCTTCATCCATCGAGACTAGGCATGGCATTGTTTCGTCGGATCCCATGGTAGAATAATGGATAGGTTGATTAGCGAATATGGAAGATGCTGCCCTCCATATCGATTTTTTCCCTAGACTGAGTCGATGTTTGTTGGATCGAATGAATCCAGCTTCTATCAGCCGGAGTCCCCCTAAGCGGCGCATTTTCGTTGCCTGGCTGCGAGTCATCCCGTGACGGATGAAGAAACGTTTCGCGGATGATCGGCTTGGAGCTTGTTATAAGATGAAATGGCATAACAGGCACGAGAGGCACTACGCAAAGTGCTTCAAGAATTCGGACGTCAAGGATTGTTTGCCACTCATAAGCCCCAAGCCTCACTCGCCCTCGATAATATCGCTCGAGGACCCTGTGAGATCCCGACATTTGTTTCCAGACCGTTTCTTCCCTGGATTCGGCCTCTCTCCGAAAGCTCGAGGCTCGAGAACTCGCCATTACCTATGAGAAGGAGATCATGATTCTGGCGTACACTGTCACCCTTCGTCAGGCATGTCTGTGCGTTCCGGTCGGATAACTTCCATCAACATAAGTCCGCGCAAATTTCTTGTCCACAACGAGTAGACGGAGTCCACAGCTCGTGTGTCCACGAATTTGAGGTCTCTCTCCCCTTATGTCGCGGCATTTCATTCTTGGAAAACTTGCCCGCTGAAATGGGCGACCTTCACCAACGACTTAGCGAGAGACGGGTCGATTCAGATCGACTGAGTATACGGTTTCGGGACTGAGTTCTCCTTCAATCCTTTTTAGGCCTCTCCTGGGAATCACGCCGATGGTGATCGTGGTGCGATTCCATGTCTGACACATGTCCAGACTCGAAAACGCTCACGTGGTTTCAGGAATCATGCGGCGGTTTCCGTTCCAGGTGTGTCGCAATCACTATCAATCTTGGACGGAAAGCCAGGGATGGATCATACAAGCGTCGAATCTACGCTAGGATATCAGCCCTGTGCGAGACTCTATAGCTTTGACCATGGAGAATAGATGACAAGCAATTCCGCAAGTGCAGAGGCTGCCCATCGAGGAGAGGCGAATTCAGGAATGGATAAGGAGGAGTTGTGCGAACAGTAACGTTGTGACAAAGTAGATTCGGGAAATTTGATTCCGGAACCTCGGATTGAGACAGTCATCTCCGGGTCGCCAAACTCTCTGACTTGGTAGGCATGCATGCATTCCTGGCTGAAGGGATCAGAATTCACAGATTGGGTGCAATCGTGTCGAATGAGTGTACGCAGAGGGTACGATGGAGGATAGCGTAGAGCAAAACGGGAAAATTTGCCAAATCCGCCGAGAGCTTGGGGTCATCGAACTGGTGATTGTGGAATTCATTCGTAAAGAAAAAGTTTCGGCGGTGCGGTTTCTCTCGGCTCTCAGTGGTTGCGATCGTCGATTTATAACAGCTGAGCCTGAAAAGAGTACGTGTACTCTGTGGGACGTATCCCGGCTGTATTCGGCTCCCCGCGTTCGGCCAGGGCTGGGAGACGCGCTAGCGTTCATGAACGCGCCGTCGAGGAGGAACGTTTCTATTTAGTCCAGGTCATCCATGTAGTGTTTCAGGAATTGATGAATCGAAAATGATCGTCCGCCCTAGCGCAGACTTGAGAGGGACTCGCGGAGGAGAAGAGAGCTCTCCTACACGAATCTGCTCATCAATAAATGAAATCAGTAGCAGCGTTTTCTCATTAGATGACCGCTAGCGTGGTACCGGCCTGGACGATTTTATTATAGAACGCGGCGTCGCCTGGACTCTCGTTGAGAGCAATGTGAGTTTGCTCAACTGCTAATCCTGTCTTTGAAGAAGACTCTTGTGTGCAAATGAAGTTTCCTCTTCAGCTTCAAGATGAGTCTAACAAAAAACTCGAGCGGCAAATTCAGCGAGTCACACGCGAAGCGCTGCTGATCGGTCTGACGCTCCGCTCAGGAACCGTTCGCATATTATTCGATCGGATTCATCGAACTTCTCGTCTCGCCCTCCATGTGCGTGAACCGTTCTAGCGCAACGTGACAGGCAAAGATGGCGATTTATCCTGTCGTTCGATAATTATCCGGGGTTCGATGCATGGAAGACATCATCGGATATATTTCATGCTTCCCATGGATTTCGGTCGACGATGGAAGCATTTAATACCAGATAATGGAGGATAAGGGTTCGAATGATGCGCGGCAGGCCAGGGGATCCGCGGCTCCTGTCGGGAACGCGAATTCGTTCCGGACTTCTCAGCAACTCCGAAAGCGTTCATGACGGCGATTGACGGCAAGAAGTCCGCATATCTCATCGAGAGGAATATCGTGGTGAAAGGGTTGACGTGAGCACTCATTTGACGAAAGAAAACGTTCCAGATGAACTCCGATCTGTTATCGTTCTACCCGCCGAGGGACCCCCGGACCAGGGGCTGGCTCCTCTTAGAGTCCACCCCATATCTCTATAGTCTTCTCGTGGCTTACGTGCTCACCGTGAAAATTTTCCTCCCGACCTGGATGAGGCACAGGAAGCCTTTCGAGCTCTTGCCCTACATCAGAGCATACAATATTTTCATGATCGTAGCCAACGCCTGGTACTTCGTACAAATGTCGAAACGGTATGTATTTGACGTCCCGTTTACAAGATACTTCCCGCAGCTATCCATCGATTCCAATTCCATCCCTGGATCGCAGCCGACTATCTTGTGCTCCGTCCATTCTCAGATCCTATCTCGGCGGGGGCTTCAACTTCGTATGTCAAGGGATCACGCACAAAGTAGATTCGGAAACCATGAGACTGCTGGATCTGCACCATCAGTACCTCTTCATCCGGATCATCGACCTACTCGATACTATCTTCTTCGGTTTGCGGAAAAAATGGGAGCATATTTCAGTGTTGCACGTCGCTCACCACTGCATCGTCGTGTTCTTGGTGAATTACGGAGCGCAATACGGCGTCGACTGCCAACCGCTTGGCGCCGTTCTGATAAACCAAGTCATTCATGTCATCATGTACTCCTATTATTTCTTGGCCTCCTTCGGGAGCCGTTTCCAGAAGTATCTCTGGTGGAAAAGGTGAGTGGGAGAAAGAACTCCGCGTCGCAAACTCGCACCAGGGTACCGGAGCCGGAATTGAGACCAGCCCCTCTTCTGACAGGTACCTGACGCAGCTGCAGCTAGCCCAGTTTATGACCATCATAATCCACAGCGTCGCCCCCTTGCTGTTCCCATGCGAGAACCTGCCGGGTATGCACATCGCTCTCGGGATCTCATCATGTTCATTCTTCCTGATCATGTTTTTGCAGTTTTACTTCCAAAAATATCTGTCGTCCAGAGGGGCGAAGACCCGCTAGAGACGAGCTATATATCCTTAGGAGATCAAAATGAAAATTCCTGTACCCGGAGAAGGACATCATCCAAAAGCTTATCGATATAGATATGAATAAAGATTACGGATTCGATTTCCTTGCCATCAATCTGCTGTGGACTCCTGCGATGCTTTCATTCAAGAGCCATGATCCCTTTCTACGACTCGCCCTCCGTCTCAGAATAGTAGGAGAGGATTCTAGCCACTTAGCTCTGACAATGAACTTTCAGGATCTTAGGTGAGCTGAAATTACGAGTCACTATTACGGCAAGACTCGTCTGGGTCTTCGACGGGCTCACCTACGGCTTCCTTGTGATTCCCATCCCACTGATTGCTCTGTCTTTCCCTTCGATTTTCGTCAAGAAAGTTATTGGAACAGAAATCAGTGTCGTAGCCGACGAGCGATCCCAGTGTCAAGTCAGTTGCACAACGCCGGGTCATGCGCCGTGTGCGGGGATGTAGCTCAGTGGTAGAGCGTTCGCTTTGCATGTGAAAGGCCCCGGGTTCAATCCCCGGCATCTCCAATTTTTTTTCCTCCGCATCACCTTCGTTTATCTTGTCGATTTGGTCGCTGAGGTGAACTTGCTCGTTGGACGGTCGGCACACAAAACATTCCTCTCTTAGCGATTCGCAAGACAAAGATTCCGCGACGGGGATTCCGGAGCTTAAGCTCATAGCTCAGCAAATCACGGAATGGTATTGGAGCACTAAAAGGAGCTCTGGTCGAATGACGCTTATTTGGATCAGCTAAGTAATATATATATTTTTTGCGTCGCCGAGTGTTGTGTTTGTCGAGCGACACTGACGTTGACACCTTCATCGAGGAGTTCATGTATGTAATCTCCACCGATCTTATCCCCGTTTTCTGATCTCGCTTTCACCGATCGTGTTCTCAGCGCTCATCGCCGATCTTCCTCACTCTTCGATGAATCTGATAATTAAACACCATCGAGTCCGAGACTCGTCGTGGGCGGCATTGAGAGCGAACGGTGACCTCATCCTCTGACCTTTGACCGATCCTCCTCAGTTCCGCATACGATGATACAACATTTTGTGTAAGGGTGCTCGCCGACGCATCTACTTGTGTTCATTTCACCAGTTTCATCTACCATAGCCTTTCAATTCAGTTCAGCTGATCATTCGGTTTTGTTTGGTCCGGGCTTCCTAAGCAGAATGCCTTCACCATAATACCAGGGTTTAGCTGCCGTCTTTCATCGGCGTCGTGATGTAACTGCTGTTGTCGTTGTCGTCGATTTCGTTGTGGTCATCGATCGGAGATGGCAACCATTGAGGGGACGTTTTCAAAAATCACAGTCGAAACCATCACCGCGACTGCACCGAAGAAGGACACTTTCGCGTTGTTTGCGTATGATTTTACTTTCGCTCCAAACAATTCTCCTCATTCAATAACTGCTCAACCATGCAATTTTCATCCAGGGAGAATGCGGCGCTTTTCACAGAGATCACGAAACGCAACTCTGTACCAGGCATTGAGCTGGGCTAGAATAGCGGTTCTTCTCGTAGACATTTTTCTCTGACGGGCCTTGTGCGGCGTTCCGTCCATAACAATGGAGCGATGCAGCACCACCTCGGAATTGCCCGAATCATGATTGCGCGAACCGGTAATCCAGAGAGAAAAGAAACAAAAAACTGCGCAGTGATTGACTGGAAAATTTATTCGCCGTCATAACTACAGAGTGGAAAGATCATGTCTTTCCATTCAGAAGCAGATCATGTCCCCGTCTTCCTGATTGTTCGCTCGTTCGTCCGCTCGTAACCTTCAAGACATTGATTATAATCCGTTCCTTCCGCCGTTGCGCCTGTGCTGCGGAATCCCCGCCCACTCCGACGAAAATTTTCGTCGGAGGAGCTCCTGGAACACCGCGGGAATCTACAGCGAGCGAAGAAGATGACGATATTTTTTTCATCCGGCAAGCTGACCACTAATCGATACGTCCCATCCTCCGAATCAGCGTCAGATGCGGACGATACACGATACGCGTAAAGCACCGTTTCGAATTCCATTTTGAAGCTATAGTCATCGAGAACGATCACGCGAAAATAACTTCCAGGTGCGCCGAGTTCTTGCAAATCCGCTTCAAGATGGCTGGGGTCACAGAATAAAATACATATTTGAAGCTTGCCTCGGTTGAGGGCATAGATACCATGGACCGCTGCCCCGGATCAAGCGTGGTGTGACGGGAGGCCTTCCATAAGTTCCCGGTGGCTAGACATCTCACTCTCCCCTTGCCCAAGGGGAGGACGATGCTGCGCCCATGTCTCAGGATCTGAGCTCATACTGATCCTTATCGATCCGAAATTGGAAGGCAATCGGAGTATCAGCTAGATTTCGGAGAGAAGGAGATGCGTGTTTTGAACGACCTGGGGCTGGTGAGATGAGAGTGGGAACGAAGCCCCTGGCGACAGCGCAGCGGTTGCATCGGCGGCGAAGAGCATTCGAAGTAAAAACTTGACGTGAATATAATCAAATACAATCTCGGTCACAAGTGGCGTCTGACACCGGACTGATGGCAGAGAGAGACGCAGAGGCTTCAGACATGGAAAGCCTCCTGGCGGGTTTATCATACAGCTTGAAGAAGCAAGCACGAGGTAGGCATCGCAACCTTTCCCTAACCCCCCTAAGTCAGATAAGCTTTCCGCTTGTGATTGCTTTGCGCCATCACGAACGTGTGGTTGGGGAGTTCGGTGTTGACGCTTCTGCCGAGAGTCTTCTGCCGCGCTCTCGATCGTCTCCCGCGATCCGATTCCAGCGATCGGGAGGGATCCAGGACGTTTTTGGGATTCAATCAGGGAATTTCCACTGGGTGCAACCTTAATCAAACTTCACATCTATTATGCTGTGGAGTCGGTCTCTGCTCGGGAGTCAACTCGTTCAATGTCTATCTGATTGCTGGAGCCCGTGTTGCGTCCACGACACAGAATATATTTTATTTAAAACAAACGGAAAACATTTCGGGCGGAAGGGGTGTCATCTGCAGACACTGATGAACCCTCGCTGGATCGTACCCGCACGCTTCGAACGCGATCGGATCGCTAATGAATCCCCTTCTGTGAGCACGCTGCGTGCCATTGACCCTGAATCAATCACCTGCGATCGCGGAGAATTCGCAATACGGGGTGATTTATTCGATTCTTTGTATGGGGGTGGATCGCAGCACAGATCACGGGATCGGGATTCGCGTATGTCGGATGGTTCCGATAATTGGGACTCGTACCCCGTCATATGCGTAGAGTGCGCGGCTCGACGAGGCATATATCGCTTCGCTCACGGCTCTCTCGGGTCCTCCAAGCTCAAATCGAGCACGCATCCTATGAAGTCGGAAAGCGGCATGTTCCGTCGGGGGTCGATCCAGAATGATAGCTTCGAGCTTCCGTCAGACATTCAGCGCCGTCGGTAAATCCATCGCTTCTCGCATCGCTGAGCTAGCGCAAAAATCCACGTCAATCGACGTCGTCATTATGTGAATCTCAGAAACGATCGAAGGAGTACGAGCACTCGTAACCAGAGGGAAAAAATGAGAGGGGGGAAAATCTCGATTACCGGAGACGCTTCAATCTCATGCTAACGGAAGACTTTTCCCAGGTTCCGGACTGAGTATTTTTCCTTCTCACACAGAAGGAAAACTCAAACATCGAGACATGAATCGATTATCGCCAGAACACTCTATAGCGTGTCGATCGTTTCCCTCTAGGAGCGCCTATCCAAACGCCTAGCTCGAATATACGACTAGTTCAAAATCGGTTTTCTTCTGATGGGATGAGCTCGCTGGCACGCGCACGTGTCATGTCTGTCATGCCATTCTCCTCTCAAGTCTCCCGCGGTCCCTCAGCCTCAGACTGTCGTGTTTTTTTTCTGATCTACCTCGTTTCGGAATCGACTGACAGATGGAAAATAATTAATTATCCCCCTCATGAGCAAGAGACATCCGTAGTCTGAACACGAGGTGAACCCGTAGAGTCGGGGAGACAGATGCGGACGAGAGAACTGAGCGGAGTTCGGGGCAAAATCCGAAGGTTCGAGCGACGGAATCCCCACGACTCAAGGTTCATGGGCGACTCGAGCGAGGCCCACGACTTGGCTCCCGCACTTCACCGTCAGATGCGCAGTTCATGATAACGAAGCCGCAGGCATCGCGGGAGCCCTGCTTACACCATCCGATAACGGGAAGAAATACTCCGGATTCGACCGAGAGCTCCGTTGTGAACACCGACGTGTACTGGAGTTTGTCAGCGACTCTAATCGCGGGCAGGCTCGATATTCGAGTGTCTCCTCCGGAGATTCCGCTCCGAATAGTGCGTAGAATCGTTCCAGATTGGGAGCGATTTTCTTTCCGCTCTGTCGCATCATTTAGCCACGAGATTTGTTGCCCAGCAACGAAACTGCGGCTCGAGCGATCGGTTCTGTTTCACGTGCCCTTGACGCTCAATAGCTCGGTAGCATCCACGAGCGCTCTGAACAATGTGAGTCGTTTTCACGCGGTTAGCTTCAGTTTTTCCATGGAGCCGATTCGTCAGATTCTAGCTAAGGCTAGGGGACAGAAAAATTCTCGGGGAGAACAAAGCGGATCTGAAGCGTAATGGGATCTACCGGCGAAGGTGAACACAGGGCTGGAACCGGTCTTCAGGAAAAACGTTCGCATAAAAATTGAGAGTCAATTTAAAAACTCCGCATCAAAATCAGAGTGGAGTGCTTCGGGCTCCCATGATGCATTTACCGAGCCTTCTCAGACAAGCGGCGGTACTTGAGAGCGGCGCAAATAGATTTGGAACTGAACCAGAGGAGCTCGGAGCTCGGAACCGCTGATTTTCAAGCCGCCGCAGGGTTGCCGCTTCCGATAATTTCCATTCTTGTCGTCGCAGGGCCAGCGGAGACCTCGCGCGTGTAAACGTTAGGAGTCATCCGCCGTCATCCGGGGCGCGCCAAGCCGATGATGCATCCGCGGCTGGGCCGGCGGCCTGACAGGGCGAGCCAAGTCAGTTTTCCGGAGATTCCGAGAGTCGAGTGAGCCGGTCGTCTTGTCTCGCTCGATTTCTCCATCGACTGGTATTTTTTTGGGAGGTCTCATTACAAAGGGTCGACATCTGTCCTGAAAATCAACTTCCACACTTCCACAGCAGTGATGCATGCCGAATTCAGTTTCTCGCCTCACTTATAGCTAGCCCGTGCTTCCTCCTGTGACCGGGATTGAGTTTCCTCGATTCTGCATCTCGCTCCGAGACTTGCGAAAATCGAGCATAAACTAAATCATCGCGCCGAGGATACTCCCACCGAAACACGGAGAGCCATTCATCAGTTTTTCCTCAATTAGGAGCTAGGTGCCTCGGTTGAGGAAATCACGCTCAGCCTCCGCTCTTCCTCACTTTCACTACAAGGTGGAAACTCTTTTCCTCTGCACTGAAAGATGTGTTGGCCATTCCATTCGTGTTCCAGCGAAAATGAGTCAAGTGGAGGAGCAATCGGGTGACGCGGTTCACGTTTCGAAAGTTGTGTCACTCAAAGTCAATTACCCGGGTTCAAATTAACAAAAACAGAGCGAACTGGGAAACGTATCATTCGACGGCGACTTTCCTCTCTGTGTGGCCTTTTGCAATTCATATCCGTCGAAATTCATATTCTGACTCGGGGACATGTCAAGAAAATCTCTCTTCAAGTACCGCCCGTGCCTCTTTCTCACCCAATCCACGCAGTATGTAGTGACACCGGCCGGTGACTCGGCCTCGTGGATGACTCTAATTGTTAGTGATAGGAGCTTTCGATGCCGCGCCTCGGAACCATCACATCTGTTTGCGATTTGGAAAAGTTTCAATTTTTTTTCTGTCCGAGATATTTGACGAGAAGCAGCTGATTACGGGACGCTTCGGAGGATTGACGGGCCACACACTTCGCCCGTCGATCGGGATCCGTCTTGAAATTGTATGTTTCACCGTCGGCCGATACATGTCCTGTTACGCGCGTTCAAATACACTTGAGTCGCTATCGCGTGGGTCGGGTTTGGTAATAGAACCAAAAAATACAGTTTCAGACTCAGACTTACCTCAGATGTAAGCCCCTGCCGCAAACTGGACGGCGGCTCGACCCGAGACGACAACGAAAACGTCGTCGTCGATCGACCTTCGTCGCTTTCTCACCAATTTTCGATTTTGCTGCTTCCTTGCTGAGTGAGTGGTCCAGTAGCTCGTCCTGATCGTCGGTCCGAGCTATTCGGTGGTGATTCTTCTTGTTATTCTAAATCCATCCATCCCTCCATCCAAGTTGACGGTTATGTTTATGGTTTGTGTCCAGCGTACCTATGCAGCGTGTTTGCATTCTTCGGGTCTCCCTGCGCCTACGATTCGTCTGACCGTAGAATGAGCTCTGCAGCTTTCGACTCCGATTCTATTCATCTTTTCCGTCCTGCTCATTCGTAGATCTACCTTTTTCTCATGTGAGCCTTCGTCGCGCTTTTTCACAAGGCGAAAAAGCTCTCTCAAGCAAGCATCAGTGAATGGAGAATTCGCCATGACGAAATGCTCAGAATAATCCCTTTCGGAAGGCAAGATATCCCCTGATGCTTCGTCGGGGGAGACCACGGGAAGCGGACGATGGATCTGGATACAGAATATCTGCGTTGACAACAAACATCATTTTTGAGCGTTACAAGAGGGGAACAATCAACATAAGCGCTCGACCGCTTTATTATATTTTGTTTTGTAAGCAGCCTTCAGGTATTCGGTCCATTTGTCGCTACTTCCACGTGACAGCTCCCGAATGCCGAATTCATCTAGCTGAATATTTTCTCGATTGGAATTCGTCCTCGGGGATTCCAACGTTGACATCTAATTACGGCTCCTACGCTTTGGGAGGTCTTCGAGGCGTGTTATTATTCATTGTCCTCAAATGAAAATCTTCGTTCGATATTCACGATATCGGCTTCAGAGAGAGAGAAGAGAGCCTACCCGAGTGATTTTTATCCTTGTCATTCATCCTAATCGGATAGAATCGAGAATACATTCGGAAACATAGCAGATCCAACCCGGTTGGAGAGACCCAATGAAGCTGGACCGATGAGAGGAGGCGACGTCATTTATATTCTGAGAGGTTTGACCCATTTGTCGCTCCTCGGACGCGGAAGCACAGCTATCCACTAGTAGTTTCGTGGCCGTCGCAAGTACCTCGATCCTAGCAGGTCTATGTTGCGAAAGCGTAGAGGCGCTTCTACTAAGTTGAGGATACCGACGTCAGGGTGCCGGAGATACCGAGAGTTGACGCCCCGTCTTCCAGGGCAACATGCGCAAGGCCGAGATGAGCTCCAAAGAAGAAACTACGGAGCCATGAGGTCTGCAAACCGCCACGATGTATTTCTGATTCCCAATACAAACAGCAGTCGCGGGGCAATCAGGAATCGAGGGACAAGCTTAGATTGTGATCGGGACTTGGGGCGGAGTATCTGATTCATAGAGTCAGCGGAGTTCTAGGATGTCACCTCCCAGGATCGATGCGCTCCTGTTCTCTTCGCTAGGTCCCCTTTCGAGCGGGGATTTGCCGAATGAAATTCCGACTACCTACAACACTGTTCTGGCCTTTACTGCGAGATCAGCAAGCTCGGACAATGGCTAGCGTAAACTTCAAGAATCGTGATGCCGCCGATTTTAATCCGTTCGGATAATACTCCGTGTTCTCATCCGCTAACATCGGAAATGAACCAGATAAATAGCAGCAGGAGGTGAGAATGGGGTTCAAGGAGCTTTCTGCTTTCCCTTCTCCCTTACGGCTTTCCCGCATTCCAAACTATCGTCTTCGATCGGCCATCCAACGGACTTGGTGAAGAAGCTGAGCTAAGGGATGGGGACTGCCCATCCACAGTGTTCATATTGTGCTGCAATGTTCGAAATCTCTCGAGTTCATCTAATCCATCTTTAGAGAAGACACTCTTTTCGAGTGGAGAGGAGTCTACCTCAAAGCAGCAGCCGGATTCACGTGGATGCGGCGGCAGTCAGTTGAAGTAGCGCGTTCTCACGTCGATGAACCCTTTCCCTATGTGACTCTTTTTTCCCGCTATTTCGTCGCGCAGCTTAGCAGAAAATCGCAACACAATGTCTGTGCCTGCAGTTCTGACCGGACTTTGACAAAAAGTTCGTCGATCAGTGCTGCCCAACCTTCATCCAATAAGAGGATCATCCATCAGCGGATTACCAATCGGGAGAGAAGATTCTCGACAAAGTGTTGCTAGCTGTGAATGAGGGAGTGTTATTGAATCACAGAAACAATGGCTCTGGGCCTGACGAAAGTGCCCCTGGACTCGAATGTATTCTGGTCACCAGTGGACCCTCGGACCGAGGGCTGGTTTTTGGTGGGAAACTTGCCAGCGCTGATAACCCTTCTCGTGGGATACGTGTACGTCGCGAAGATCGCGGGACCCCGATGGATGAAAAATCGACCGCCCTTCGACAATCTCAAACCAGTGATCCGAGCCTACAACTTCGCCATGGTGCTCACCAACGCGCTCATGCTAAAGTACATACTAGCAAGAACCTACTTCGGAGGTGGATACTCTTTTTATTGCCAAGGCATAAGCTACACCGATCGGAGTGACCAAGCGATGGAACTAGTGTCCGCGTTGTATTTCTACACCTTCATACGGATAATCGACTTCTTGGATACGATATTCTTCGTTCTGAGGAAGAAGTTCGACCATGTGAGCCTCCTCCACGTGTCGCATCATTGCCTCGTGGTATTCATCGGCTGGTACGGAGCGTCGCATGGTTTCGGAGGACAACCCATGGCCGGAACAGCCGTAAACATGTTCGTGCATGTCATCATGTACACGTACTATTTCTTAGCATCGTTCGGAAAACGCTTCGAAAAGTATCTTTTCTGGAAAAAGTATCTCACTCAGCTACAGCTGCTGCAGTTCATCTTCTGTATGGTGCATATTCTCGTGCCGGTTTTCGAACCTCAATGCTTTATCCCACTGGATCATGTGGCGGTCGTTATCCTTCCCGTCATATTTTTCCTGGCGATGTTCTCAAGGTTCTACGTTCATACCTACCTGAAAAAAAGGTGTACAGAAGTTATGAAGACAGCTCTCATCAAAGATATACCTGACAAAGAAAGAGCCCTAGCGACAGCCCGGGAGCAGCCTAGCTTCAGAGAGAACAAGAAATTAAATTAAATTGAAAGAATAATTATGTATATGCATAGGTTTGAATGCCCGCGCGTTTCCTAATTGATGCGCTGAAAAACATGAATCTGGATGGAGACGCTCTGACGTGGGCCCGAGGGAACCCATGCCGAATAGACTTCTCTCAAGCAGAACTCCATCAGGTTCAAATAGTCGCGAAGGTCATCTCCGTAGAGTAATCAAAGCTCCATGATTTCAACACCATCGATTGGCACCGCTCCGAGATGATTATCTCTTTGACACAAAATGCCCGAGCTAACTCTACCGGCTTCGTGAATGTCCCCGCTTAGATAGGGGGTCGCCAGAACCCCGCTGGGTGCTCCTCTCTCAGCTCACACCCTGTAACGAGTCAGACACGTATAGAAGCACTCCGCATGACTTCAATAAATACAGAAGAGTACTGATGCCTCCGTGTCAAGGATGCCCCTTCGTTTCCTGCTTTATTCTTCGGGGGCCAGTAGCGTAGCCAGTGCATGGTTTACCCTCGTTCACTCGACGCAAGACTCGACCAAAATCTAGTCATCACTTCATCAGCTGTTTCTCGTTTTATCGCAACAGAAATCATCCGTGCACACTGAATAATTTATTGGGTCTCCGCTGCCCCGGTGAGTGCCAGTATCTCATGACCGACCAGCAGCGGTCTCCAATTCTGTCAATCTTCGGAGCAGCTACTGTCCACGCCGAGTTCTGGAGAAATTCCTGCGATATATAGATTTTTGGAGATCCGAAAATTCAGCGAGCATCCACAGATCGTGATTCTTCGAGCATCGCCGGATCAGCCGATACTCGCTTAAATTCAACAGCTGCTGAATTCAATCACTCGAGTCCCCGATTACAATCATCCGTCCAAGAAGACAAGCGATGCGAAGCAGTCATCGACATCCTTCAGGCGAAATTGTTCATTGGAGAATCCCCACAGCAGAGGAAGGGTTTGAACGGGCTGATACGATTGCACGTAGCATCCTCCTTGATCCAATCGATACATAGTTTATTGTTCTGGAATTCAATCTTGATGTCTCAGATATGTCGACAGCTGATGTTCACACCTTTATCTTGACCGAGGTACTCGAGAACGAGTCTGTGCCGAAAGGACTAGAATTTCTGCCTCCGGATTCTACGTGTGCAAGTCTCAACGGAACAATGACCAATATTCCCGGCGACCCAAGGCTCGGGAGGTCATTTCACTCGGTGCTTCAATTCGATGGCCTACCGAAAACAGTAAAGTCCTCGAAGCCTCGCCGCCGACCTCGCAGTCATCCAAAGGAACATTCTCGACGATTAGTCGAGCCTGATGAGAACTTACAACCCTAAGTCACAAGATGATGCGCGCACCTTCTATGTAATCCATGTAAGATGCGCGTATAGCTCTGCATAGCTCTGATAGTCTATAGCATAACGATCAAAGATCCAGAAATTCATTCTCATCGAGTTCCTCCCTTCCCAAATTACCGGAGGCCCCAGTATGAATGTATGAATATGACCGGGATCAGCCACACGAAAAGACAGCGAAGCCAATCCGCTTGCACGGACTGAGCTTGTAGGGGAGAGCCATCACGAAGAAATCCTGAGAAGTCTGCCGGAATCTTCGAGCTGTGTATTCGGAGGAGCAGTCACTGAAACGAAAGTGGGCTCAAAAGGAGAAGCGATGAAACCATGAAGTCCCACGACCACTACGGTGCTTTTCTGAGACCCGATTCAGACAGCGCTCGAGGGTTCGACCCGATCTGTCGCTCTTCGTTGGGTCCTTGCTCGAGCGAGGAGACGCGCAGTAAAATTCTGTCTACCCAGGATACTGTTCTGCTATTCACAACGAGATCAGCGAACTCGGACCACGGCAGACGAAAACTCCACGAACCGTGGTGCCTCCCAGTTTCATCCGTATGGATGATGTTCCTGAAGTTTTGCTCATGCTTCCATGCGCCAGCATCGGGGATGAACCAGAAACAGCAGCGTCAGATGAGACTGGAAACCCAGAAGCTTTCTGTTCTCGACCTTTCCCTCTCGACCTTCCTACTCTTGATCTCCGCGTCTCGATTCGATCATCATCTAGAGCAGGTGGGAAAAGCTCGGGGATCGGGGTTCATTAGAGGGGGCGCTTTGCTCGAGTGTAGGGGGGCTCCCGAAAAACAGCAGCGTTATTCTGCGTGGACATCGAATCCTTGGAGAAGCGTCGACGGACCCTTTCACCAGGCGACTCCGCTTCCGGTATTCCGCCGCCTAGCGTGGCAGAAAACCGCAACACGATGTGTGAGCCTGCACTTCTGACCGGACTTCGTCTAATAGTTCGCCGATCTGTACCCGCCAGATGATGAGGCAGTTGTAATCGCATCCCTCTTATTCATCCTGGCAGTGTTTTCCAGGTTCATACGTGGCCGAAGGAGAGGACCTCAGATGCTATGGAGATAGTTCTGACCAAAGATATTTCTGACGAAGAACAAGCTTTCTGCTACAGCTCAGGAGCGATCCTAGTAAACTGAGTCGAGAGAATCTTCTTCAATTCATGAATCTCGATAGAAGCGCACTGAGTTTAGCCCGGGGGAGCCCAAGCTGAACCGACTTCTCTCGGGAGATGCATGATCGCGAAGGTTCTCTCCGTAGAGCAATCAAGGCTGTACGATTCCGATATCACAAATCGGCACCGTCTCGAGACGGTTTTGTCTCTCTCATTAATTGCCCACGCTAACTCCACCGCACTCGTACCTATCCGTACAGACATAGGGGTGCTCCTCGGGGGAGCACCCCTGTTGGGTGCTCCTCTCTCAGCTCACATCCTGTGCCGCGTCAGACAAGTATAGAAGAACTCCACGTGCGCTCAATAAATACAGAAGAGTTCCGAAACCTCCCTGTGAAGCAGCGCCACCGTCCTCTGCTCCATTCCTCGATGACTATGAGTGGAGTCAGTGCGTGAGCAAACGGTCAATCTCGACCCAGCTCACTCGACGCAAAACTCGACTGAGGTCTAGTCACCATCAGGTTCGTCGATCAGTTCTGCCCAAGCTTCATCCAATAAGAGGATCAACTATCAGCGGATTACAGATCGGGAGAGGAGATTCTCAAGTGTGGTGAACCGTGAATGAAGAGGTGTTGTTGAATCTCAGAAATAATGACTTTGGGCCTGACGAAAGTGCTCCTGGACACGAACGTATTCTGGTCACCTGTGGACCCTCGGACCGATGGCTGGTTCTTGGTGGGGAACTTGCCGGCGCTGATAGCCCTCTTGGTAGGATACGTTTACGTCGCGAAGATCGCCGGGCCCCGATGGATGAAGAATCGACCACCTTTCGACAATCTCAAACCGGTGATCCGAGTCTACAACTTCGCCATGGTGCTCATCAACGCGCTCATGCTCAAATACTTGTTAGCGAGGACCTACTTAGGCGGTGGATACTCACTCTATTGCCAAAGCATAAACTACACCGATCGGAGTGAGCAAGCGATGGAGCTAGTGACCGCGTTGTATTTCTACACCTTCGTGCGGATAATAGATTTCTTGGACACGATATTCTTCGTTCTAAGGAAGAAGTTCGACCATGTGAGCGTTCTCCACGTGTCACATCACTGCCTCGTGGTATTCATCGGCTGGTACGGGGCGTCGCACGGTTACGGAGGGCAACCAATGGCCGGCACAGCCATAAACATGTTCGTGCATGTGATCATGTACACGTACTATTTCTTAGCATCGTTCGGAAAACGCTTCGAGAAGTACCTCTTCTGGAAGAAGTATCTCACTCAGCTACAGCTGCTGCAGTTCATCTTCTGCATGGTGCACATTCTAGTGCCGCTCTTCGATTCCCGGTGCTCCATCCCACTGGATCATGTGGCGGTCGTTATCGTTCCCGTCATATTTTTCCTGGCGATGTTCTCAAGGTTCTACGTTCATACCTACTTGAAGAAAAGGAGCACAGAAGCCATGAAGACAGCTCTCATCAAAAATGTACCTCTCAAAGAACGAGCCCTAGCAACAAGTCGGGACAAGCTCAGATTCGAAGAGATCAAGAAATTGAATTGAGGCGGAAGAATCCCGCGCACGCTTGGGTCCAGAGAGTTCCGAGTGTTCCCCATGTTGTTTAAATTTATTAATCTAGATGGAGACGCCCTGAGTTCGGCCCGAGGGACACCACGCCTTCTCTCCAGCTATATCGCAAGCGCAAACACATCAGGTTCACTCAATCGCAGGGCTCATCTCCCAAGAGTATTTAGATCGTTCAATTTGAGCAATATCGATGGACACCGTTCCGAGAGGGTTGTCTACTTCTCATCAATCTCCTGAGCCGCGTTCCCAGCCGTACTTCGATGAGAGAGGCGGCCAGCAGAACGCCTGTCGCGCGCTGCTCTCTCAGCTCACATCCTGTACCGAGTCGGGCACGAAAAGGAGCATCCCGCAACCAATTTATCATCAATTTAATAAATACACAGGAGAATACTGATATATTTGTGTAAACGCAGCGCCTCCGTTTCCTGCTCTCCTACTCGAGGACTAACAGTGTAGTACAGTCGTGTGTGCTGGAGGGAAGGGGGAAAGGGCCATGGCCTCCCCGAGAGCTCTATACTTATCCGATCGACTTTTGGAGTGATACTTTTCGGAATGACATCCGGAAGTTATTGAATTTCGAGAATCGGGACTGGAAAGTTACGGATGTAGAAACAGTTACCTGAAGTTGAGAAAAATGGAAGACTGTTTGGTCCCCCAGAGAGAATCCTGGGCACGTTTCGAGTGTAGTCAGTGCTGGAGCGAGTGGCCAATCCTCGACCTAAGGACTAAGCTTACCCAACCGAAATCTAGTATTCATCAAACTCGCCCTGCCTACATCGGATCAGAGGATACTCCATCAACGGTTTACCGCTTACTATAGAATATCCTCGGGAGAAGTTGTCAGCTGAGAATGGCGAAGTGTTGATTGAGTTCTAGAAACACTAGCTCTGGGCCTGACGAATGCCTCTTCGGACTAGAATATATACTGGTGATCAGTGGACCCTCGGACCGAGGGAAGTCGCCATCGCTGATCACGCCTCTGGCAGGATACGTGTTCGATACGCAGAAGTGTACAGCCGTTATGAGGACAGCTCTGATCGAAGATGAGCCCGACAAAGAGCGAGCCTCGAAAAACACTCGGGGACGCCAGCTCCCGAGAGACCGAGACCGAAACGGGAGATTCCCGTTTATGCCCAGGAGGGAGCGCCAACGCGTTCCCTCATGTGGTTTGCGGAGAAGAAAGTATCGGAGCCGCGAGTGCCGCGATTCATCATTGTCTCTATCATATAATAAAACTTTGGGCGTACAATATGTATAGTAAGAGAAGAATAGAACATCGCACAGTAAATAATGATCGTAAATCCCAGCACGCCGTATGAGTATTTTGAGTTGCTTCATTCTGACAGCCGTCATCTGTCCAGGGTGAAGTCGCGGGGTCGGATCAGTCTTTCCTCCAAAAGAGCCGTCTGCAATGAAGCGATAGTGGCCACTAAGTTGGACGCAAGTCAGGTTTTCGAGAAAACATAATCGGTTTCGGTGAGAATTTCAACACCGGGCATCCTAAGGGTCTCGTCTATGGCGCGTCGGAACATTTTTCGTATCTAAACCGAAGCCCACTCCATCAACAAGCTGGCAAAAGCTAAGGGAGATTTGGAATTGCGGTTATGACCCTTGTTTGTTCAATACATTACTCAGTTCTGGAGTCATCGGGTCACGAATTGCCCAGCAAGCGGTCAGCAGCCAAGTGTCGTCAGTTTGGGACCAGAAGCTCCGGGCGGCTGTATTCAAATCTCTCATGCCAGAGTCATTGCTTAAAAAAGGAGACCGCCGAAAGTTCCGGTGGGCACCGTCAATGATCGCGGAAGGCCAGCGAGGGATGGGGATCGGACCAGTTGTCCACGGATCGCTCACGGAGTTTCATGGGGATAAACCAGGCTCCAATAATCCTTGCCCCGTCATTCAGAATCACTACGCAGAAATTGGAAGTGTTCCGAACCACAACAGAATGAGGACTGTCCCGGGTCCCCTCCCGGGCATCGCGGTGTGATCTTGCGAAATATCTGATCGGCAGGCAAGCGAGACCCCAACCAGCACCTGAGATTGCGATTCTTTAAGAGTTCCGCAACTGACAACACAGACTAGTGATTAATCCGTAGAGAATCAACTGCTGACACTGCTCCGAATGAGCCTGGAGCAGAGCGCCTCATTGGTGGCTAGCCGCGCGAATAGGGCTCCACCTACCCAGAGCCCTGGGCTGCTGAGGACTTGCAAGCGACGATTTTCGGAACAATCATTCATTTGCTTTCTTGGAAGATGATGGTCTATTCCAAATATTCTGAGTTAAAGAAATTATTGCCATCACATATCGGTGTTGCCTCTTGGCTCGAACGGAGCAGCGTTGGAGTCTTGAATCCCAACTCAGGGTTCCGAAGCTGTCGAAGCAGCCGATTCCGGCGTCAGTGCTGTCACTGACGGCGAAGAAGATTCAATTGTGCCATTGAGACAGCGTTCGGAAGAACGGCCTTGGCTCCAAGCATAACTGATGCAGTCTGGCGTCAGAATATCTAAGCGACCAGGCAAGCTGAAAATTGTGGCCTACAATGTATGCCGCACGGCAGCTCGGAAGAACTATACGGTGAAGAGAGGACGAAGAATACTGCCAACTTCTGACTTCTTTCGGTCCATGCGAAAAACTGAGCTGCGGGACTCCGTCGTGAGCTCAGTGGCAGGTCGGTGCTCGGAATGGTAGATCGGCTCAGGACGCCTAAATGGTTTCTTCCATTACTGGTCTAGCGTATTCTACAAGAATGATATTTTTCCCTCGACACCCGACTCGGTCGCATCGCGCTCAACGTGTAGAGCTTTTGCTCCTCTTGCGGGATCAGGGAGATACCCATCGAGAAACCGCCTATGACCCCGATCCGGACGGAGAAAAAAAATTTGCGGAGCAGATCATAGGTCCTGAGAGGGCTACCGAATTTGGATGTCGTAATCTCAATCGTCGGTCACAGTCGCCCCGCCACTTATCTTCCTCCATTTCACCCTTCACAGTCGGCGTGAGCGACGGAGCTGCCCACGGAAGCCACACTTCAGACATCAATACTTAAACCCGCTAGTCGTTCCATATTCCGCTTGGGCCGACTGGTAGACCGCAAAAATTGTCTGCTCTGGTCGGCAAATCACTCACAGTGAAAAGGAAGTTCTGATGATACGTGTCACCTGTCACAAGCAGGTGGAGGGTTTGCAGAGCGTGACATAGACACCGTACTCTTGCTCAAACACACAGAAATTCGACAGTGAGGACTCCTCTGGGGTCCTTGTTCAATTCGAATCAATACAATGCAGGCTGCTCATCTCGCCGGAAAGTCCCCAATATTCTGACCACGAACAGTGAATACAGAACCATGTCCCGCCGGAAGATTATTCTCTCCTGTTCTGGAGCCTGATATGAAGGCTCCCGACTCGGATGCCGCTCGCAGTCTGAAGCCACATTTCCTCTGGTGCTTTGCAACAGGACGGTAGTAATTTTTCCAGTCATCCAGCTCACGGGCGCCGGAGGTTACTGACTTATCTGAAGATCCGAATAGAGTCTCGAATTCCACGGCTTCGATATGCATACAGAGAAGTTGCCCATCGGAAGTAACAGCGGGCAAGAAAGCAAGGAGAAGCTATCTGGCCGAATAAGATGTCCATTCGAAGACCCATGTTCGGAATATCCGTGGAACCCGAAACATCAGCTTTCAAGGGTAATCCCGTGATTTTAATAACGCGAATGCAGACACGAAGCCTCCCTGAAACTCCTGGGATAGAAATCGTAATTCATCAGATTCCAACGAATGCCCCGCTCTTCGTGTCGGTCTTAGCGGAGTCTTTCGCAGTCGTTTTCACTCCAGATTGAGGAGTCGAGCCGAGCTTGATTCTCCTCCACAACATTGGAAACTCCGTCTCTTCGAACCTCATGCAACCTTAACCGTTATGAGAATTTTTGATCCTCGCTATTGTCTACACGTTTTCATCGTACACACGAGCGACCCTGATTCGGGGGCGAGCCCGCCGTGCTCCGATGACGAATTATCGAATTATTTTGGGTTATATCATGATTCCTTATTTGGCTCCGCTGGGGAAGGCAACTCTTGTGACTCTCTAGCTAGAATGAGGAATGGAGCGCTTCTGTGAGAGGGAGAAGAAGGAAATGCCGATGATCCTGCTCCTCTTTCTTGTTTAGCTGGAATCGAATGCGGAGCCAATCTTCGACTGACTAATCCCATGATCGAAGAATCCAGCAGGGCAAGGCTCGATGGGGATGAAACCTCCGGTGGGTAATGAGCTGTCAACATTAGCCGCAATTCGATCGCCGCGGGAGAATCAGATTTCTCTCCAAGCCTTTTCTCAGTCTTGCCTCAGCCCGGTATTTTTCTGATCCCTCGAATCCCGATTCATATATTCAAAGGACCTGAGTGACTTATTCGCGCTGCCGACTCCGCATTTAATCGTGGAATCCCGATGAGCCCGCCGGGAATTCTGAACACGATCGGCTCTGATGAGCCAAGAGGAGCACGGACTTTTTTGGTAACATTCAGACGAGACGCGGAAGGAGTATTCTCGCTCATGCACTAGCCGGATATTTCCTTTCTCCTCTCGGGTCGTCTCACTTCCTCTCGATCGAGAACGTCCAACCTGGAGATCCAAGCGCATTCCACTCAATCTATCATCAGCATTCGTTTCCTCGACAACAAATTATCTCTAGCTGTCAGGAAAGTTCCAGATCTGATCGTCTGAACCGAAAAGATCGAATTCCGCATGCTCATCAGGAGTCTGCTCTATAAATTCAGGAGACTGCAAGAGTGAGATAGGTTCACGTCTAGGCTCTCGATGGTCCAAAGTGCTTTTCGCGAGGAGCCAGCCATTTGTAGACCCCGACAGGAGTATCGGAGCAATGATTGGTGATTTTGAATATCCAGAGTATACAGGGATCGTTTGACGGAGGACGAGCAGAAGATCGAGTACTCGCCAGCGTCTCATCTTCATCTTGTTCGAGTTGTTCCTGGGAGGCGGCCGAAGGCAACATTGCCGCTCTCTTGAGACGAGGAAATCTGGTGAATTTTCCTCTCGTCCACAGCCGCTTCGCGAGTAATGATTAATGACTCATCGATCCGAAGTTCCCTACGGCTCAAGTTGCGAGAAAGATCTTCCTCGTGTGGAGAACTTCGCTGAACATCGCGAAGCCTCGCTCTAGGGGATCGAGCTCTGGAGTATCAATCAAGGAAACACCTTGGTGACTCATCTTCTGCGATAGACAAGCAAAGTATGTTTTGCAAATGCGAATCCTGGGAAGGGGGCGATTGCCCGATCTGTCCGTTTTTTTCATTTCCCTCCAAGTCTCTTTTCAAAGCACCACACGGACTCTGGATTGCTTCTTCAACTTCTATTGCTTCCCCCCTTCACTTCCACATGGATTCCCCGACCCCTTTCCCGTTCTGTTTCATGTTTTCCCCCAAGATACACCGAGAAGTCAAAATGTCTGATTCGGTGAAGATACGCATCTCAACAATCTCCCCGTGAAACAATAATTTGCGAATGTTTCGATCAACTCAGTTCGAGTGCGAAGGAGTGATCGGGAGAGGACACCGTCCTGAAAGTTTGTCGGAGCCACTTGTGAGATCCAGAGAATTCCGACGACGTTCGAGCAAACTTCGCGCTTAAACATGTCCTGGAAAGAAATACGAAACCCATGAGTGGGCTCATCTTTGGAACGAATCCACGGCTTTTTCAAAAGATTGTTCGACCGAAAAAAGTCGTTCGAGCATGTTCGGGCGAAGCGAGCGGTGGAAATGGAAGACTCGAGTGGAACTGCGACACGTCGCGGAATCGACGTGCATTGACCACAATTCGCGAACATTCACACAACGTTCGAAAATGGCTCCTCTTGCAATTTCCGGCTCGTTTGAGACCTCCCTGTCCTATTCGCAAGTCGACGCGCTGGTCGACGGCTGCGACTGTGTATTCTCGGAGCGATATTCATCGATTCTCAAAGCTATCCGTTCAGGAAAATCGAACGCCGCAATGGATTGTTTGTGACAGATCAAATTTCGCGAGGCTTCCCCAATCCAACTGACGACCGTGATTTTCGGACTTGTCGATTGGGAGCGATTAAGGAGAAGGATAGGAACGGTGCACCACATTTGGGCGCTCCGGGATAGGAATCGTTCTCGATCTCCGCACGGAGAGCCGGAGACGGTCACATTTAATCATCGCATGTCAACAGGTTCCGCTCGCCGGAAATCGGGTTGGGGAACCGCGTCGCTCCAGAGCTCAGAGTACATTTCCTCGTCTCACCCAGAGTGTTTGAATAAGGATTCGGAGCCTCCGCATATGAACTCCCCATTGGGGGTAGTCGAGGAGTCGGCCGACTTTTTCCAACTCGTTCGGATAGGAAAAAGCCGTCGGTGGAGTCTCAACTCGAATAGGGCGTAGTCGATTCGAATTGAATGCCAGCCAGCTGCTCATGATATGCGAACGTAAAATAGTTCCGGTTCGAATTTCCAACTGCAAAAGTGAGAGATGATTTGTCGGGGAGGCCACACCCTTCTCTGAGACATCTAGGAACTCGTTTTTTGAATTGTGATCATAATCTCCCGCGCAGATAGGGGAAAAGAACGATAAGCACACCAGCCGCGCTCTCGCCCGTGACCGTTGAGGTCCGGGAGGGTTTCCAGCGTTGATCAAGTGGGCATTCGGGGCTCGACTGAGGTCGAGAGAAATAGGCCGAATGGCAGCTGAGCATTGTCTTCCACGCTTCTTCTTCGATTCACGAATCATCTGCCATATCGTAGAGCTTTCTGACCGGCGAACCTTACGGGGACATCATAACCATCGCTTCGAGATACACGGATGGAGTTTGAGCAGTTCTTTCGAATAAGAGCCCATGCCGAGGAACAGAGGCCCTCCTGCTCTTCTCCTTTAGCCGGGCTCGGGTTCGAGTCGGATACTTTCCTCAGTTTAGCCCACTTGGGTCTCGGAGTTCCATATCAGGCGACATTCGCTGTCGAGGTCAGCTACTCTGAATTCAACACCCTATCGTCGTCTGGCGTAGACGGAGAAATCTAGTTTCGTTCTCTGTGTTATCTGTTGATTCGGTTGATCTGCGATGCTCCCCAATCCAATCTCAATGTATTCCCGATGACCTCGGAAGAATAATAAGCGCTATCTTCCACAGGAATCTCCGGGGATATCGGATCGGATGCATTCGTTCGGGGCAAAACCGGTGGAAGACGGAGTGGGAATGGAAGGAAAACACCTGAATTCGACCCCGGCAATTCTGCAGATTCCAACATGTATTGTTTTATTTGAGATCAATCAATCCACCATTACACTAAGCAATCAACACCATAATACTCATATTCGTCTGACGGAGCACAGACACGGAATAGTAGCAACCAATCCAGCTGTCTCGTAACAGTCAGTATCTCGCATTGATGGATACTATTTACACGGAATGGTCAAGCATAATCCATATGAACATTTCTGTACATCAACAGGGCCCTGAGAGTCCTATCACAAAGTGGAGGGTGGAAGAAAAGATGATGCCAGCAGCGTCCTTCAAAAAGCTTGATGGCGGTGGCGGTCATCGAGTTCGTCGTGGACCACAGTGTCATGCTGGAGTTGGTGCGGATCAATGCTGTGAGGGGTCTGCACGCCGTCGCTCAGACCGCTCGACTGACCCTCTGAAGCGATTCTCGCGAGTTTGATGGCTGGTACCCTATTCCGGAGTGGCCGACTCCTCGCAGCTTGGCTCCCGAGATAACCTCGCTTCGAGTTGCAGCCGACGGCCCGGCGGAACTCCCTGCAACACGCATCGAATGTTTTATTCATCTGACTTCGCCGAGGAGACTTACGCGGAAATCTTTGCGTGTTATTCGCGCATGTTTGAATAAGACGGAGACTGCGAAGGGGTATTTCGCCGCGAAAGAAAACAAAGAACGGGATTCCTATGATCTGAGCGGTCGTGAGACCGAAGATCGCTTCCCTGTGAGTGCCAACTCAAAGACCGCGTGCAGAAGTGAATGTTGATTTACCGATTTGAAACATACGCTTTTTCCGGACAAACCCAAACCAGAAACCGTGTAACCGCGAGAAATTTCAATTCTTTCATCAGGTGGGGGAAACCTGATTCGAAATCCCCTTTGCCGCAGTCACGTACCTCAACCTGTGGCATTCTGCATGATCGCGCTAACTCAGCAATGCCGATATACAGTGTACCGGACGTACTTCAAGGTTTCGCAAACAGGGGACAAAGTATCGCTTCCTCCGCCAGCAAACTTCCGCACAGAGCAGATACTTCGTTTTATTACTCCGACGGAAATCATTAGGAAGAACGCCGGACGCACAATGCTACTAGACATGACGCCGCTCTCAGCAACATCGAGTGATATCGCTCCGGATGTTAAACTACCACTTGAATGTTCCGTACTGTCAAGAAGCGTGTTTCGGATATCCCCGATCGGAAATGCTCTCGGGTGCAAACGTCGCTGTCGTCGGAAAGTCCGCTCGGGAAACATCCGGAGGTCTCCTCAGAGACATCCTTTTCCCGCTCACTTGAGAGCACAAGTCGAGGATCCGATTCGAAGCTATGGGATTCCCACGGCCGAATATGCATCGGGAGGTAGTGATTTACCCCTTACGAACCCCATGAGGATTGAGAAAGATAAAGTGGCACTCCAGCGGAAACCCGTAGGCCTACCATGAATTAAGCAATGAGCATCCTCGTCTCACCTTCGGAAATTGTTGTTCATGAAACAATACGTGATCGGATTACAGCACGACGAGATGTACGAGAGGAGGAGGAATAATGGAGGCCCGAACGAGCCCAGGGGCGACAGGTATTCCGGCGAAATCGAAGAAATCGTGTTGATAGTGTACAGCGGGGTCCAGCAGATGAAGAACTCGAGAACCTGAATCGGAATGAGGAACCACGTCAGAACCGAGGGAGGCCTTTTCCAATGAATCAAAAAAAAATCCAAGGAACGAAATATGAGTGGAGTCACGCAAATCCTGGCCCGTTACTGGAGCTCGGCCAGCGACTTCTCTGGTTTCCAGCGAGCTATGATCAGACCTCTCTTCGGATTCTTGGGAACATGAAGCTTACCACGACGAACATCATCCGTATGACTTTGCGCTTCACGGCCATTCGTTGCTCTAAATTATTTGAGCGTAGATGTCCGATGAGGAGCTCACGTCTGTGGTGTGTTGAGACCGTTCTGCAATAAAGATGGTCGACTTACTTCGGGGATTGCGGGAGTAAGAAGTCGCCGGATCGCGTGCTCTGTGAGCTTTAGGGTAGGCCGAATCTCTATCTTGGGCCCAAGGCCTAGGAAGATCCGAGATGAGAGATGAATATTTCTCGAGAAGGCCGAGCAGGACCCTCCCAGCCAAGAAGAGGGGTTTCTTGTAGACTTGCGAGAAAGGGCGACCACCTGGGACACATCATGTTCCCGCGGGATGCAAATGTCCTCCGAGACACCACTGTCAAAAAATGTCATACTTGCAATGGCAGTGACATTGCGTCATGTCCAGGAGCCCCAACGCTCGATTGAATTCACGTTCAAGGACGTCATAGCCCAGGGGCAGGGAGGGATTGAGAAGCTTCGAACACGAGAAGGATTCCGCGGAGCCAGGAAGCATCCCGATGCCTTGTGTCTCGGGACGCTCTGCACTTGGCTTCCGCCGACACTCCCCGAACATATATATTCCGGTTAGCCGCTATGCAGCAGGGTTCTCGGGGGTGGAAGTGGGCACCATACGACCTCTTTTCTGGATTCTAGCTTATCGCCATACCGAAGCGAGAGGGAGAGCGAGAGAGAGATCATCCGAAACGCATCGTCCCAGCAAAAACGAAAGAAGGAGAGACAAGGGGACACTTTAACAGGTCGCTTTTGCCATCTCGAGATCCCAGTAGCTGATCGAACGTTCCGTGAATTACAGGCAGGGCTGACACGCGACCATGTGATGAGCTCATGGAAGTCGTTCTTCTCTATCTGCCATGATCTTCCGGTCTCACATGCGGGTTATCTCGGTTTTCCCACGAGAACGGTGGCTGCGCGAGGAGAAATTCGAATCAGAGTGATTCGGCTCCCTCGGTCGGTTCGCTGGCTCCCGACTCCTGATAAGCGCCGCTCAGGGAACAGGAGAGAGACACGCCGGCGTTCGGCCATTGATCAAACGCTGATCTCGGGAACAAGAGCGAGAATCAGATTGAAATGTCAATAAGCGCTCTCATTCGAGGCGTCTACCTAAATAGGCAGCGTCGCGTCGTTGAGTGTCCGAATGTTCAAGAGGCACGGAGGCGGAAGAGCAACACAATCAGCAGACGATTCCGGAGAGGTTCCGGATCTGATGTGTCTACGATTTCCGAGTCCTTTTTCAAAGTCGCTCCCTCCGTCCAGGGGAAGCAGGGCCACGAAGAGGGTCGTGATCTCGCATCTGACTGTGTATCGTGCAAACCTCGAATATGTCTCCCTGAAACTCGATCATAGAGCACGAGAAGAACCATTCTCTCTGATGTAGGCGCTAATCATTGAGTTGCGCGGTTTTCCGCACGAAGGGCTCCATTATCATTATCTATGGGACAGATCCGGCTGTTCATCCGCCTAATTAATGGGGACTTCAAACGCTGCCGACGTCACATCAGAACGTGAGTGATAACACGACATACAGCAAGTCGCTCACTCAGCAGCCTGGCTCGTTAGGTGTCAGCACAAGATTAATGAATGGGGCGCTTTTTTGCTCAACGAGTCTCGGAATTCAGAGCGTTATTGAAAGGAACGGAGTCTGCCTCCCTAAGCACACCGAGACACGTCGACCAAGACTATGAGCTCTCTTGAAGTCACTGATCGGTTCGCAAGTCTTCTCTGCCGGACAGCAATTGATCTAGTCTGTTGACCTGCCCCATTGTCGATTCCAAATATCCAGGGTGATCCTTGGGAAATTCGTCGACTCGGTATCCATTCAGCAAGAGCAATGTCATCTGCGAATTCCACACATCGGGGAACTCGTTACACCGGAGACCGACAAAAATCGACCTTCCGGGGATTTCGAGATCCGACATCGATTTCATCGACGGTCAGCTCTGCATGGATTCTCGAAGACCAAGCAGATCTTCGGCCATCGACACAGGACGCCTCCTCCTCGCCCCGGAATTCAAGGGAAGAACATGGAGACTCAAGAAGAGAGTGCGGAAGTCAAGAGAAGCAGTCGGGCGAAGAAGCATGACTTCGGTCATCGCTTATCGACTTCGGCACGGCGCCCACTATTCTGTTAATCGATGTTGGACCACCCCAGAGCCTCGAGGAACTATCCGCTCTGGCACCGCCTTGCGTTCCGCTCCGATTTCGGAACGACTGCCCCCGCCACCTGAAGCTGATGAAAGCTTGCGCTCGTCCGGTCTCGTATCTAGCGATTTATAAATGTTTATTATTATTATTATCATGCTCGCGTCTGTTCCGAAATGAAGCTATCACTCGCCTTCACGAGGGAATCTGTATAAAGATCTTATCAGCTTCTGAACAATGCCTGCGAATGCACCTCAGTTCTCAAGGCCTGTGGACTGCATCTCTCAGGGAAGAGGACGCGCCTGCTAATCGGATGCGGAGTTAAGAAGCTCAGCTTGATTAACATGCCATTGGGAGGGCCTTTGTTCCGCTATCTATCCCGGAAAAATCATTGGCAGTCGAGCTTACATAATTAAATCGGGTTCGCGACGCGTGATATTCTCGAAATTCCCCGCGAGATGCCCCGCTGGACTTTCAGAATTCTTTGAGAGCTCCCTGGGCTTTCGATGATGATATCAAGCAACCTTCTGTAGCCAGCTCGAGTTTCAGGTGACTCATTGAGACCGGTATAATAGAAGCTATCGCGGCCCACCGCACGCATCAATGCTTGAGGAAGACTCGTGAGGAAACTCCGGAATGATTCGATGCAGTTGATCGAGTCCGGCCATCATGACACATATGCTCACGCAAGAAGCGTGACTACGATTTCGCGGAACAATAGGTCCGGGAAGAAGCATGGAGACATGCCAACAGGTTGCGGATATGCTTCATCGTCATGGAGTCTCGGTCAATAAACGATGGAGAAGCGAAGAAACGCACAAAGCGAGGCGAAAGAAGAAGAAAAAAAAGAAATCCTGAGCTCTCCGGCGCATAGTTGCACGATTCATGCACGCAGAATTTGACGGACATTGAAAGTTTCCATCAGCTGGGCTCTGGTGCTCAACTCTATATGAATGGAGTCGGCAGCCGCGGTAACATGCTTGAATGTTGGATACGGTGTTCTCGACCTGATGAGTTTTCTGACGCCATCTTTAAGAGGATCGTCTCGGCGGCATGGGTAGGGAAATCGATGTTAATTACCGGTGCTCAGGCTCCCGATCTCAAGTTTCTCCAGTCATTCGCCGAGATAGATGGAGTGAAGCGTCGTCCGACGAATTGATTTTTTTCGCAGCGAGCAACCCCGACACTACGAAAACCCCCTCCGCTTTCACGGACCTCGCGGAAGAAGCGAGAGATCTGAGAGAATGGGACGCTCCGATTTCAATTTAGCTCTGCAATTAACTTCGAAGTATTCGAGGAAGTATTCTCTACCGTATTGTGGTTCTCTTCGCTTCCCCCCTCCCGATTTTGCAGCTAATCTTTGAGCTCAGCTGTCGAGGTGCCGACATCCCGGAAATGCTCCAGTCTGCAGCTAACTGGCGAGTCAATCACCCAGGGGCTTCTGGCAGCGGTTTTTATTGAAGTCAAAGCCAGCAATCAGAATGCGTAATGATCTCCGGTTACCAGTCCATTAGAGTTGAGGAGGCGGCGCGACTGTGAGCGGAGATCCTCCTTCGCGGCTCCAGAAAGTTCTCATCAGGCGATCGTAGAGAACCGAAGATAGAAACTTTGATGAACGTGGAATAGGACAGACGGTGAATGGTGGGGCAGATGCGTGCGCAGAAGCTTGATATTGAGGAGGCTGCGGGGACGGACTGGAACAGACCACGAGCAGCAATGACCGCAGGAAGCGATTGGAGAGAGCGAGTCCTCACCGAGGAGCTCTATTAAACAGCTGTGGAACTATTCTCCGAGCCCATTTGGAGACTTGGTTCGGTAAAGTAGAGATACTGCTCATCTTCGGCCCCGGGAGCCTGGCGCCCCCGGAATCCGAGGTGACCCCGGAGATCGCTCAACGACTCCGACCGATTGCAGATGATTGTCCCGCAAGATGTACAGCAGAGTTCCATCGCCCAATCGTAAGTTCCCTTCGGCACGGGGGCGAGCGAGTCCAGCCAGTCCGATAGCGGAATCCTAAGGGGGTGACCCGATCGATTTGGATAAATCTCCAAAACATTACCTCAGTAGCAGATCCGCCCCACTCAGTAGCAGATCCAAGGAGGGGGCGGGCTGCGCGATGGGGCGACCGCGTGTCCCGATTGCCTACACCTTCCATGTCGGGTATCTATCCGCTCCGCAGCCCCTCGGGCATCCTGGGAGCCGCCACTGACCCAGATAAGAAATAAGGGCTCGCCATGCGAAGCTGTAGAATCCGAACCCGCGATAGATATCCAATTTGAATCGATCACCTGCCGTATGACACCGGGGGTCACACCGAGGACGCTCACCCGCTCGGCTATAAGGATCGAATATCCGGACTCCGGTCGGGATGCGGGGCGTGATCTGCCGGACAGATCGCGACTAGGAGTGACCTCCATCCATCGAACCAACTGACTGAGATAAGAACTTGATATATTTGGATCCGCTCGGCGGTTAGAGCATTATCCCAGGTTCGAGACAAGACTTCCGATTTTTTTTCGGAAGAACACGATCGAATGATGTTTGCGGATAGCCTAGTTGGAGCCTGATATTCTGCGGAATCACTGGTTTCGATCCGGATTCGAAACTCGCTGCTCGGAATACCTAATGAGAATAGAGCTCATTCATGGAGAAGAATATTAGAGGAACTCCTACCTCGACATCCTTAGAGAGTCGCCTCCATTCACTTCTCTCTCTGCTGGCGCCTCGTCGACGTTGTCCTCTTCATAATCCGAGTTGTTCTCCGTCATCCTGCACCACTTCACAATTAGCATCGGTTCTTTGTCAGCGACCTTCTTGCCGTTTTGCTTCCCTCCACCTTCGTCATCACAACTCCTGTCTTTGATCATCAGGCCCGATGTTCTCGTTATCGGGATGGCTGGAAAGGAAGATGGACGAGTCACCGAAACGACTCCTAGACTTAATTCCGCGGGAGCTTAGTGTGGGGATGGGACGCAAAATTTTCCCTAAATCGGACTTGAACAGAATCACCCGGACGAGTTGGATCAGTCTCCATGATTTTCGAGCCGTATCTGTCGATTGTATGACTCCGAGATTGAATGGGACATTTTTGTGGGAAAATCCCGATCACCGAGAATTCGAAGCAAGCCTTGCCAGGATGATCGTTGCATCGATTGACATTTTCGACCGCGAATATAGGGTCTCCGCATTCTCGCTCACCGAGCTGAAATTCAACACGGAGTTTTGCACTTCCTATGGAAGCAATTGTCGTCGCGTCGGCTTTCACGAGCGTACGAGTAGAGGTTCCGGGAAAGATGTCTGCCCTGTTCCGAATCACAGCAGATCACTCTTTGCTGCATATCGTGAGCCGGGATAATCTGGCAACGAAGACGTCTTCTAAACGTCTATCCTCAAAGCTGTTTCTCGCGAGTTTCCGCGATGATTTCTTTCGTCGAAGCGGAAAGCACGATGACTTGAAGAGTCCGGATCGATTCGCTCAAGCCGACTGCTGTCTAAATCCTTCTTCTATCCGCCATGGAGCTAAGGATAGCGACGATTTGTTCAATGAATGTTCTATTCATTCCCAAAAATTTAGCCTGACGGACAATGAAATTTCAATGGAATTTGTTCGATCCTTGAAGAAGAAGTTGAGGGACGGATGAATGAAATCCAGGACGATCATATCCCTCTATTAAGTAGAATGGAAGGGAATGAGGGAAGCGGATCGACAGACTTCAGCCGTCACATAGGAGTCATGTTCTGGAGCTTTGATCGACAGACTCTAAACGGTAAATATATCATGCGCTTATTTCTCAGGCTTATAAGGATGAGGCCAAGAACATGCCTTGATCCTCAGCGACCCGCCTCTTGGTCTACATAGCATGTGGCTAGCAGACGAGAGTGCTGTAGGATGATCTTTGTGAGCGCTGAAGACTTGGTAGAAGCGCCGATGGGCGAAGCAATTGTCGAGCGTGATGCTAACTCGTTGGCCGCAGGAGACGCCACGCTGTTGACGGTCTTCACGATGAGTCTGAATGTCACCGAAATCATCTCTAGTAGGCTACCGTAAAAATTGACTCTCAATGTCTGCTCTGTCATTGCGCTTCAGCAACCTCCGATATTGGCGCTGCATTTGTTGTATCGCAATCTTTCGGAACATTTGCTCTGGTGCTGGTGAGCGGTCCAGGTGCATTTCTTCATTTGTTCAAACAAAAGCACCGGGAGATTCCGCGAAAAGTCATGATACGAAAACGGTGAGGGCGGCTCTATGGGAGGAAGTAAGAATCCATTCGGAGACGCAGTCCAAGGGACGCCGGCACGTAAGCCGCGATGAAAACTTGCTGTGTGCATATACTACGACGAAAACAGACGGAATGTCCCAACTTTTTTCTAAGCCAGTCTCGAAGTTAGGGAACTTGATGTCCGACGCGGAGCGGACGTGAACGAGCTTCGTGGGCTCCACCAGCTCTGGAACGACGCTCCGTGCCGCGGGCGCAACCGTGTCTTTGACCATGGGTTCGCTTTATCCGTGACGAGAGTGCTGTTCGAATTCAAGGGGCGCGAACCCCAATGATCACCGTGAGACTCAGTAATGGGGGAAGCTCAAAGACCGGGCCGCATCGTCGATCTGATAAAAATCAATCTCAATCACTGACTCTGATTGAGAAGAACCTCCGAGGTCTAGTACCGAGGCTTCCCAAGCGCTACTTGGCTCAGATTTCCCGAAAGATCTCCGCTTTTCGAAATAGCTCAATATTTTGCCCATTCGCCGCTATATCGATGCCACCCATACTTTCCCCACCACGGGCGAACGAGGTTTGAACTCTCTGACAGGCTCGCCCCGGGAGGGACGGGTTCCGATGGAGACCCGATTCATCGATCGCAGCTTCTCGACAGACAAACGACTACTATAAGGCGTGCGTCGAGAAAATGAGGTCCTGCACGAGAGGAGACACCCTCGAGTTTTCCGCCTTTTGAAGGCCTCGTATTGAGAGTTCCGTCTCTGCTACATGGTTGAAGACAAGTTTTCCAGACGCTTCCCGTATCGCGGTGACTGTCGAGGTGAGGCATTAGCGATTTTCGATTCAGTCAATGGGATGTTGTCGGTCCAAGTCATCCGAGCACGAACAAGCCTTTTCGATTACGGGACAAGTAATTCGATTATATGGTACAACAACTTGCTCTAAGGTACACTCGAATCGCGCCCAGGCACTTAGTTAGCTCGGCGCGGAGAGCGCACCTCTCCTTTATGTTCTCGCCAGGAATGAGTCGATGAGCAGTTGCGACAGCAAAGAATATTCTCAAATTTGGAGTTTAACACTCTTGTGGACCGACAGTTTCGCGGCGAATGGAAACGTGGAATGAGTTGCGCGACGAAACCCAAAGAAAATGTTCACTTTAAAGGAAGGAGGATAAAGGGAGAACGTATCAACGCATCGACAATCAGAATCGCTCCTTCCCTGCATCGCATTAATTTCAACTTCGCCACACGATCACTCAGAGCCCTCGGCCAACTCAATCGATTGTTGGATCACGAATTTGCTTCGAATGTGTACATACTCTCCAAAGCGAAAATTCAGGGAAGAATGTCGGCCTTTATCGAGAATCACCTGTCTAGATGCTCCTCTCAGGGTTCAGAACGGAAATTGCCCATTGTCGCTGGAGGGGCATGCGAATCGAAGTGAGGGGGAAAACCCTTCACGATGAATGAATGTCGAACGTCAGACGGGGACTGGAATGAATTCGTCGAAACATGTTCCAGAATTGGCCGAGCAGAACATTCTTTACTATCGAGCTTCTAAATCACGCTAATCGGCACGCAGTCAGCCGGAGCTAATAAGTAGGAAGTTCAGGAACTGCAGGGAAAAATCAGAGAGGTGGACGTGGTTTGGAATGGCTTCGCATTCCACCAGCACGAGAAGCTCCGCAGAAGGAGCGAACAGAAACCTACAAGAAAAAATGAATCGCAGAGAAATCGGAAAAATTCTCAGCGATCGAACCTTGGACGCCTGCTCTGGATCGCTGTGTATTTAGAGAGCTTATGCTGCTGAAATCGCAAGGAAAACGTGATAGGACGATCCGCACGTTCCGTGCAAGAGCCACCGACCACCGTTGCCTTACCCGAGAGTCTCATGATATGAACATCTCGCCGCTTCCTGATCGAGGGCTTCCCCTCGAGCGCAATACCGGATCCCTGGATTAGATGCTTGGAATAACAGAGCGGGACGCACGCGGCGAAGAGCCGCCCGTCAACAAGGACTCGAGTGTGGACCACGGAGCCGAGAAAGTCTAGACGAGACCGCTCCGGAGGGACCGTGAAAGCGACCCAAATCCCAATCAAGCGGCCGATGCGCATCGCCACCTCAGAGGGTTGGTTCCCCGTCACGCAGAGATCAACCGTTATCGAGCTCGACCAAGGACTCACCATTGACGCATCGCTCGTGATCTTTGATGCCTTTCTTCAAGGTCCACGATATTTGAACGTAGGCCGTGCCCATGATGGCGAGCGGTACAGCGAACAAAACGGCGTCTAGAGCGAGGTTGAACGCAGTCTCTAAGGCTGGGCTTGGCCACTTTTCCCGACACTTGTATTTCCCTGCGGAGAGTTATTAAAAAAGAAGATCAGCTATCCGGGAGGTAATTAAGTCGCGCATATGCGGGACGGTTGACTTGGTTCTATGTGGCGTTGATCGACCGGCTGTTGGAGCGAATGATATCTGTCGAGAGCACTTCGGAGTTATCTCTCGTCCGATCTCTGGACGAGGAGGAAAGGCATCGAAACAGTGGATTAGAGCGCGATCAGCGAGGAGAGAGAAGGCTCGGATGAACCAGGGTAAAAACGCCAAGGAAGAGTATCGACGAAGCCATACCAAGTTAGGGAATCCCATCCAGAGAAAAAAAAAGCAATGACCGTCAGCACCAGAATGGTCTGGCTTCACGGTGATGTCGCGGAATTCTGCATCGCAGCCTGTCCACGCGTCGGGAGCTTGGGAGCTCAAACTCCTTGTGGTACTCACCTTTGAAGCGCTCCATCTCGATGAGCCGATTCAAGCAGCCGAGAGGCAGCATGAGGATAAGTGCCACGATCCAGATCACAATGATCAGTTTGACTGCGTGCCACGAACTTTGCCAAGTTCGGCAGCGCAGGGGCTGGCAGACGGCGAAGTATCGCTCAAAAGAGATCATCACGAGAGTCCAAGCGCTCACAGCGACCGCGACAGCTGGAAGCAGGAGGGAAAGAATCGGATAGACTGTGATCAAAAATGAGGGAAGTTTATCTCATCATTCGCGTTCACCGCGGATGAGGACCAGCGGGAAATTTGGGTTTCCTTTGTCAGTCTTTCCCGATTCGCGATTTCGACGCGGTGGAACGATCTCCAATTCGTCCACGGAGCCCACAGCTCGGGTCGCTTTGTCCACTGCGATCCATCATACATCACGACCTCCCGCACCGATACCCAATCGGTGACACACGGGGGGTAGATGGATGGGTGACGGGATCCATTTATCTCTCACGGGAATATACGGGACTCTGCGACGGGCTGACGCCAAGACGGGGCAGCCTGACGGACAGTTGACAACAGTCGAATGGAGGAATTGATACATCGAAGCTTCTCTTGATGCAGCTCGAAGGGAAGATGACTCCAGAGAGCCCAGAGAAGCGCCAATGGTTCCGTCTAGCATCTGAGCTATTCGAGAAGAGAGGGGAAACAAGTTGCTGCTAAGTTTATGGCTCGACAGTCGGATTGCGAGACGGAGAAAGGCTGAGACACCCTTGCTTTTTTTAATTTTTTGTTTAACTCCAACAACGTGAGGAATGGAGTACGATGCATTGAATACCGATACCGGGTAGCGCCCCGGGAAATCACACGTTCCTCCTGCGACCGATCGGAGAGAGCGAATTGATGCTCTCGAAGAAATCGAGATCGGGACCTGCGCTCGGAGAAGGAATCGAACCTGTTGCATGCCATCCCCGAGCAGGGACCAGGCGGTACATATCTCGTATGGCTCTCTAGATGGAATGAATGGATCAACTGCGGTGAGCTGGAGAGGACCGAACCCGTCCGGGTTGCATCCCGAGGAATTCAATCGGTTCGAGCGCAAAAGTCGAGATGCAACGGTGATTAGCTCAGAGGGGGCTGCACGCCTTGTTCGCCCCTGTCACGAATTTTCTCGCCGAATCACATTCTGGAATAATGCTGAGCCCTCCGTTCTCCTGATTTGATTCGCACGCTCGACCTTCAATTGTAGTGGATCATCGAGCGCACGGAAGAGATCCGCTCGGCGCTTCTTGGGCATGCTCAAGGTATAACCACCCTCTCATCACTTGCTGACGCCAGGCATGTTGCTGAATATTTTCTGGATCCAGCGGTGAGCCCGGAGCGAAGACGAGGCATTTTGAAATGCGAGTCAAAGATAGTATGGAACAGCGAGGGGAAAGTAGTGAAGGCGCGTGTATCAGAGTTTAATGTCCGCGCGACATGCGCTCGATTAAAGCTAATCCCCGGGCTTAGTTCATCCCAGGAATTTGCCGTGTCTCTTGCGTCAGAGAAAGCCCTCGGATGAATTTTGCAGACAGCAGGCAAGCTCAACGCACTATGGAAGCAGGGGAACCAGGCCGACGTAGCGTCGATCGCCTCTCCGTGCAAATTCCGGTGGAAGTTCCCAGACATCAGCGGTGCTCACAATCGTCGATGCGTGCTAGAAGACCATTTCCGATGCGGCCGAGCTTCCCTTCGGAGTCGATATCGTCGACGATCTCTCTCGATCTTCGCCCAAGTATGTGCTTTAAACTCGAAGTATCCCCTTTCCTACCCTTTCGGAGTGATCTCGAAGGCTGCGGGCTCGACGGATGCGACCATGAGCCGCGGCAGTGTCCGAACGTGACACATCGATTTTTTCCTTGACGTGCATCCTTCTAACGATCCTGAGCGTAAACTTTCCTCGACACCGCTCGCCCCTCGCTGCCTGTCTCATCAATGGAATGGGGAAGATTTATGGGATAGACTGGTGATCGGCGAGTCGATGACTGGCAATTTCTCATACCCACCTCGCCTCGTTCCCGCTAATTTAGGATGCCGCCTTTAGCCTCACTCCCGAGGCGATGAAGAGAGTTTCCGCTCATCCAAGTGCTTGTGTCCCCTCCTCAAGGTGTAGCTGGTGGAATCGATCTACGGGAGCTTCATGTGTGTATACTTATCGCAAGACATCGATACGGGGCGGCGTCTCCAGGAGAGACGGAGAGGGAATCAGGACTTGCTGTAGAGTCGTTCCGAGCTAGATCATTCCACTTATAGAGAGGAGAATTTCAAATTACGCAGAGGGGAAGGGGAAATTCTCATCCCGGGAATGGGCCCAGACTACGAAGGGTACACAGGCCGCGAAACTACGCCTTGAATCTCCAAGCATCGTCTGGGGGAAAACATCCCCGGAGGGCTGAGGACTGGAATCGTTCATGGGAAGAAACGACACCAAAGAGTAGAGAGGCTAAATCCGAACGAAGAACAAGCATGAGGGCCAGAGAACGAATTCTGTTTCGTGACAATGCCACGGGTGGTAATCTGCCGCGATCTCGCGTCGGTTAGGCTTAGGCCGGACGCTGAATTCATTGACGAAATTATGGAGCTCAACCATCGTCTAGAGACCCCGGGACTCGTTCGAGCAACCATTGCAGTCCCGTTACTGTTTTGCGTCATGTCCTCATGATTATTGTAATTAATATTGGGGATCCTCCCTCATGTCTACGCTTTTTCCTTGCACTTATAAGCGACCTGGGCTCAGGGCAAAATTTTCTCAGCAGATCCACGAGTTTCATCTACCGCCGAGTTCCTCGGACTCCCTCAGAGATCTCTCGTATGGGCGCGTCCGATGTCTAGCCGAGTGGGATCCCATCGCTATACGCTTCTTCTCACAACTGTTTAGCCATGGAGCGGATTGCTTCCAAGACGAGGAAACAAAAGACACGAACCTTGAACGTAAGGTACAGCCTTGCACATGAGGTCGCCGAAGATGAACTCACGAAAAACAATGCCGGACAGCGTGAAAGGCATGCAGAATACTCCGACGAGGAGATCGCTCACTGCTAAGTTGAGCAGGAATGCGTTTGTGGGTACCTGGAATGAATTAGATGATCAATGCAGGAATCGCATTAGTTCAATTAAGAACATTCCCGATTAACTCGAAACTCGTTAGCACCGGGCTCGCCCATGATGACACACAACGCGTCTTGTTAATGACGCGTCCGAGGGAATTTGACGTGGGGCTCGCGGCGGTAGACAGCGTCGCCAGGGCGGGAGCGACGACGGCGGGGACTGAGAAAGCGCCCGCCTCCCGCAGAGCCTTCGGGAGAAAGTCCGCTTGGGTGGCCGCACGGGTGTTCCGTCGAAGGTTTTCGGGCCCACTCCATCAATCGGTCCCTCGTTATTCGAGGGAAGAGCAGATGAATACCCTGAAGCTCCATCCTACGAGCGTCTCCGTTTAGTGCGCAAAACTTAAGGATGGTTTTACTAAACCCTCCTGGTGAAGTAAATGAGTCGAAGGGGAATTCACTCCTTCGAAACTCCGACTAGGGGTCCCTGGGAAAGTACGACGTCATATCCGACGACCAGCAATACCATACAAGGACTCAATTGCCGGAGGTGCCCGGATCGGATAATCACCGTCCGTCTGCTCGCCGCCAAATGAGACAACGTCCTGGAGAGCTTAGGGGAGCTCATCGGGGATCAGGAACATCCCCTCATCTTGTTATTCTCGCCATATGTCCGTCTATGAACTTAAGAGTGATCTCGACGAACTTCGGTTCGCCACGTTTCGGAATTGCCGTGTGAGGCTACCTTTGGTATGTCTCGAAGTCGATGCAGCTCGCAGCGCTCGGAGCACTTATTCCCTTCCGTTCCGCTAGAAATCACATGACGGAGAGACCTTTGTCAGCAAACATCGAAGCTTAGCCTGATTCAAATCTGGATGGAAATTTCTAGCAGATGGTCTAGCGAGGCCTAACATTTAGATCTGACAGCTGGAGTGTTAGAGCTACATCAACCGGCGGGTGACGCTCGAATTGGCTAATGTCTTTGTCGCTTGTACCAGCTGAATAGGAGGCGCGATATCATACCAGCATTACAAAGAACGGAGTTTGATCCCGAAAAGCGCAGCACAAAGGAGCCTTCGTCGTGTCCTTCGGGATTTTTTCCGAAGACCGCCGCTGAATTGTGTGAGTTCGGAGAATCGGAAAAGGGCGCCGTCGCCGTCGAGATCCTCCTGAGGGGAGGGGGCAACATTCCTATGCCTGCACTATCGGTACCGTTTCAGGTGAGTCAAATCATCATCATCATTCCTACTATGAAGCGCGACACGGGGGGGGGGGCAAAGCTGTGTTTCGATACCGAAGATAATTGCCAACTGGTAATTTCCTATGCCCTCAGTCGTGAAAGGCCGTCGTCACTGACGTTTTCATTCGGGAGTGAACGATAAAAGCGTTTCAATCATGGTCTACTTGGCCACGACTCAAGCTGAGAACCGTCCCGTGTAAGAGCGCCGATTGCGCATTAACCCAATTGGTCCAATTGGATTTGGAATGGATATTGCGCATCGGGGCCGTGGGAGGCGCTAAATCTATCAATAAATCAAATTGACCATTAGATCTGAGAGCTGATGAGCCATCAATCAATCAATCGATCCTGGCTCCTTTCCCGCTACATGGGGGAGGCGACATGTCCGTCATGAGAAATTATCACCAATATGAACATTATTCTCACAATACCATCATTCGAAAAATACAGGCCGGAAAATCGTGCTCGGCAATGCCCTTGCGATCGCGATTCCTTCAGAATTCACTTATCGAGGAATCTACATTCCCAACCGCAGTGCGCGTCCGGCGCTCTAATGCACTGCGCAGTTGCGCCATGGCGCCGCCGCGCCGTCGCGCGTCGTCGCCATTGCAGCCGTCCACTCCGTGTTCGCTCGCGCCCGGAGATGTCCTACGCTGGATAAAAAATCCGAGGCGTTTGGTTCCTGTGCGTCAGTATCATCTTCATCGAAATAGACATGCAACCAATTGCTAAGAGAACTTGCTCCCAATGGAGCATTGTGGGGCGACATTGGGAGCATCTCTACTTGACTGTTGACATGCTCCAACGCAATGATCAGGAGCATGATGGTTTCGAAAATACCGCAACAAGAAATACCGGCGAATCGTCAACGTCGTAAGCAACCGTAGTTGCACTCCACGAACCACGTTGCCAGCCTATTCCCAGCCAGCGAGCGAAGCGAGCGCCCGGC